GGTAGGCATCACCCAAATTTCTTGGCACAGTAAATGAACACATCTAATGCTGCTTCTGCTTGTTGAAACATTTAAACTGGTAGTCCGTTTTGTTTTCCTCCAGTGCTTTCAGGGCTGAATGAACGTCTTCCTTCAACATCACCAGTTCTTAATCATATATTAGAAGGTTGAGTATCATCCAACTTTTTATGTTTAGTTGCTCTGTCGTTATTTCAATTTTCATTTGATTCTTCCCTGCACTGTTCAATGTTTTGTCCATAGAATCTGACAACCTTGCAACTGCAGGCAGGATTTTTCTTCAGTTATTTCAATTTTAGAAATATCAAGAAGATCAACCTGATCTGCGTCCAGGTCTATTTTCTTTAAACAGTTTCACTGGCACTGCATCCACATACCATACAATTCGATTGTTCAATCATATAAAGAGTTGTACAACCGTTACCACAATCAATTTTGGAATACTTTCTCCTGTCTGTGTTTTTTTTTTTAACGTGGTAAAAATATATACAACAAAGCATTCTCCAATTCAACAACTTCTACACGTATAATTCAGTGTCACTGATTATACTCTGTGTTGTAAAACCATTATTGATATGCTTTTCCAAATTATTTCAAGACCATTAACATAAACTGAATGTCTCCTAAGCAAAAACTCTTCATCTTACACCTATGGAAACCAAGGTCAAGTTTGGTTTGTTTTCTTTTCATAGTTTTCTTGATATAATATTCACATATCACTTTTAAAAGAGTTGGATATACATCATCACAGTCAGGTCTAATGCTCCCCGCCCACATCCAGCATTGCTTGCTCCCCAATTACTTTCACCCTCCTTGTGCCCTCCACTTCCCAATAAATTATTGCATCAGTTATTGCCTCTATGCATCCACTCCTCTGCTTCATAAATGGGGAAACTTACAAACAATAAAAATAAAAAACAAAACAGAAAGAAGAAAATAATATAAAAATAAAGAATAAGAAGGAAAAGACCATCAGTATTTAAAAAGTCAAAGAAGAAATTTCTTTTGTGGAACAAGTGAGAAATATTTGAGCCCAGAGCAAATCCAGTTTGGGTCAAGAGAGAGGTCAACCATCCAGGTATCATATTATACTATAGTTCAATTCACCATAATCAAAGTTACAATAATCTGTCTGAATGGTAAAGCTGTTCGGGTCCCTTGCCTGTGTCAAGAGGGGATTTGTCAGAAGCTTAATCTGATTAGATACTCTAAATGAAAGCTCTACTCAAACCTGTCCACCACGGGTGTCCATGCTGATATTTGAAATACTGATTGCCTAACTTCCAAAATGATAACAATATGCAGATCACCCCAGTAAGACAAAATTATAGTTGGAGGGTGGAACGTTAGATGGGAAATTTTAAATAGTTTCCTTTAGTAATTGATAGAACATGCATACAAAAATAAATCAGTAAGGATAAGATTAAACAACACAAATAATTTGATCTAACTAACATATAAATATTGTAATGAAAGAATAGAAAATATACATTATGGAAAAAACAGTTATTAAACATTCATATCAATAAACTACATACTAGAGCGCGATGGTGGTCCAGTGGTAAGTACCTAGCATCTATGTGGAAGACCCAGGTTTGATTTCTGGTCAATGCACTTCAATTCAAGGTCAGCCATCATTTATTCGTCTGTCAGTGGAGGCGTGTACATTGGTGTAATGCTGATCAAGATTCAGCAGAACTTCCAGCATAAACAGATTAGGTAGAAAGGTCTAGCAATCTACTTCTGAAAATCAGCCAATAAAAGCTCTAAAGATCACAATGGTCTAACCATGTGCATGCTGGCTTAAGGGCTACTAACAACAAGTACATGCTAAGAAGATAGCAAGTCTCCATAAATTTCTGAATATTAAAATATAATACAAAGTACACTTTCTAGTTGTAACTAAGTGAGAAATCAGTGACAAAATTAAAATTGTCATGTTTTTTTCTTGTAATGAAGAAAAGCCATATGGGTCAAAGATGAAATTACACAAAAAATCACAATATTTTGAAACAAGTGATCATGAAAAATACTATATACATATCAAAACTTGTGGGGTAAAGCAAACACTGTGTTTCGTGGTAAATATATTGCTATAAGTACATGAATTACAAAATTGTTTGATATAATTAAGAAATAAATAGTTCACATAAGTATGAACAAAACACGCCACTACAAATCTACTGATAACAGGAGGGAAATATGCTTCTTCCTCGCCACTATCATGATCCCAATTCTACCTTACAAATCTGGCTAGACCAGAGGAGCAGATACCAATGGCTCAAGTAGAAAGGACATGTTTTGAGAATGATGATGGCAACAAATGCACAAATGTGCTTCACACAATGGAGGTATGTATTGATTGTGAAAAGAGTTGTATGAGCCCCCAATAAAATGATTTTAAAAAGTAAAAATTAAAAGAAAGAGCAAATATAAGAACAGAAATAATGGAAACAGTAACAAAGAAGAGTAAAACAAAAAGCAATTATTTAAATGACAGCTATGTCACAGGAAGAAAGAAGCCATAATAAAATAAAGCAAGACAACAAAGAGATAAAGATTCATCTCATTTCAGTTAAAAATCTATTGATTTAACATCAGTGCTAGGAGTGAGCAATGGTTACCAAGAGCAGAAAGTGGGTAAATTCTGGAAGGTGAAAAGCAGATGGGATCAGAATAGTAGAAACACAAAGGAGAAAATCCATGATCCCTCCTGTGAACTCCTCTTTCCCAATCTCTTACCTCAGGAATGAATAACAAGAAATAGTATAGGAGGTGGCTCTCAATGATAATAGATTTTTTGCTTAATAGATGACTGGGGGTGGTTGGGTGGGGGGGCTTATATGGCAAGTTAAAATTCCAAAACAATAGAGACTTCATGATGCATACAATCAGGGACACATCAACATGGTAACCGAAGAGTGGAGCAGCAGCAGAAGGGTAGCGTGGCCCAAAGTATTCTACCTTAGAGAAACCATTTCTATTTGCTCAAATCCTAGTGAGTGCCGCCTGTAAGCCTAGGATGTCTGCTCACTGAAGACAGGGACCAGTTGAAGAAACATCATTACTCTGGTACTGAGAACACTTAAGGAGAACAACTAATCATAATCCACCAAGAGTGCTTGATACATATATGTGACAATGACACTTTACTGAACATTTAAAAACCAAGAGCTTTAAAGATGACACAAAAGAAGACAAAATGAAAACTTAAAAACAAAAAGAACTCTTAAAATTCAAATAATATACTGAGAAAATAGGACATTATATTAAAATACCTCAGAATAGATACTATTCAGTAAAATTAATCAGAAAATATAGTGATAAATGTTCCACTGGTTTAATTCACTGAGGTTTCCTTTCGGGAATTATCACTGAATTTCTTTATCTAAAAGGTGGTCTCATTGGGGCTCGTTTTGTTTTTGGTGACCTACCTATGATACTGAAGAAAAGTAAGACAGGGTGAATAGTCTGTGTTGTTTGCTTTACATTAGTACTCTGACCCCAGAAAATTAGCTCCTAGGAATATGGCACACATTTGGAAATGTCAATGTACGAGCATATACAAGTACTGCTTTTAACCATAAAACATTATGTGCAATGCAGCATTCATATTAGTTATAAAGCAATAGCTCAAAACCAAACTCACTGCCACTGAGTTGATACCGACTCAGAGTGATTCTATAGGACCGCGTAGAACTGTCCCCTGTGAGTTTCTAATCTATAACTGTTCATGGGTGTATAAAGCCCTATCTTTCTCCCAAGGAACAGCTGGTGGTTCTGAACTGCAGACCTTGAGGATTGCAGCCTAATGCACAACCACTATGCCATCAGAGATCCCCAAGAAAAGAATGGGTACATAAATCATGGTATATTTTTTCTCTCAAAACTGTACATTCACGTATGTTTCGTAAAAATGTCCAAAATAAATAAATTAAAAAGTTGTAAAATGTGGTTGTCTTCACACTCTTTAACAAGAAAGTTACAATGTTAGATTGCCTAATATAAATATTGCAATAAAATACCCCAGGTCCCATAACCACTTCCCTGAGACACCAATAGAAAAATGTTAAATTCTACAGTTTTAATTATTGAATTTCAGAACTGATTATCATGTGTCACGTAATACAAGACAAGGGTGGCTGAGTGACAAATGACTCACATGCTTGGCTGTTAACTAAAAGGGTGTCAACTGAGTTTACCCAAAGGGAAAAGGCCTTGTGACCCACTTCCCCAAAACCAACCTATGCACTCTCTGCAGCCGTTTTAGTGTGACACACGTGGACTCGCTCTGAGCCCAATGACTCGAGGGCAACTGGCTTGGTTTTCTTTCTAGCTTGACTTTAGCCCCCAAATTTTCAGGGCCCAATTATCATCTACAGAAACATTCCCACCCCAAATATTATAAAGTGTGGGCAAGCTCCTTATAAACAGACATATTTTAACAATAACAGTAAAACTGTTAATAAAATTAATGGCGACATGTACGTCTTCAGGATCTTGTATATTCCTGATCTTTAAGGCATAGAAATATGTCTTAACTTCCTAAGCTTGATTTAGTGTAAGAATAAACTAAAATCATGGCGACTACAGGAGGGTGGGTAGAAATAAGGAAGATAGCTATATGAAGACGTTAAAAAAATAAAAAGTGTGGAAACATTTTCATTCTATCTTAATTCTATTATTTTCTACAAATTTTTTGAAGGCCTAGCCTACTTGTAATTATAATCATCTGCCTTTAGTATAGGTTAAGTTTTAAGTCAAAATGGAAAATAAAATTATTTCCATTAAAAAGAGGTAAAATAACTTTAAGGCTTTTTTGCTAGTTATGAGAAAAAAAATTGAGCACATCTGGAAGATATTGGTTAAATGAAGTGATTTTATACCTAATAGCCAAGTATATTAAAAAAAATTGCTTTATGGGATAAAACACGAAGGTAGTTAGAAATATTTTTAAAAGATACAACAAAGTCCATACTCACAACAAGTAGCTTGAATTGGTCTAAGCTGTGGAAAGGTCAGAACAGCAGAAACTTCTGGTAGGTCCTTTTGCTTTGGATGTTCAGTTGTTTGGTCCGCCCAAGCCACCATTTTTTTCCTCTCCACTAAATGTTGAATTGCTTTGAATTCAGAATCAAAAGCAGAATCTGATAGGCCAGCTTCTTTGAGTGTATAGTACTGTTTTCTGAAGGCTGGAAGCAATGCATTTAATACTCTATATATCGAAAGTGACAAAGGAAAAGAGATAAATAAACATTTAAGTATTATAATTCTTTTAAATACTATTCAAGTTTGAATAGATAGTTGAAATGATTTCCCATACATTTTCTTATTAAAAAGTGTACTAGTCATATATATATAATAAATATAAAGACTAGAGTGGAAAGAATCTGGGATACAAATTATTCAGGAAGTAGACTACTTTCAGCTTGTCTTTTTTTCACTTCTATTTCACTGTGGACAAAGGGCACAGTACAGTTCCTTCCTCCATAAAATGTATGATGATTTACTTGAGAGAAGTGTTTTGAAGACTAAACAAATTAAATACATAAAAATGGTTCTTGTAACACATATTTTGTTTTAAAAATGTGATATTGCTGTCATTAATTACCATGGGAGCTGATGTGACAAAAAACAACAACCAACCAAACCAAACCAAACACTACACTATGTCAAACAATGACTTATGTGAGGAAGTTTCAATAAGTTCTTGGGAAATTTTCATTGGTTTTCTAGTTACATTTTTCCACAAATGTTTTGAAGGTTCCCTCATAATTTGCTATCTAACATTAAAATACAAAACAAAAAACCTCAACCAACCAAAAAATAAAACCCAATTCTCCTTCAAGTTAGCTCTTTAATATTTTCAGATAAAGAGTTAAAAGGCATTTGAGGAAAGTTCTACACAAGGATGGTAAATATGGAGAATGGTTGGGAAATGGATTCATGGTTCTAACGAGTGGGTTTGATCTTTTGATGCTTTAGAGTGTCATATAAGCTCTAACTAAAAAAATTAAGTCACAGCTAAACAGTTAAACCTGTACAATCAAATTTTACTTGCACAAGTAAACTTTTATGCCAGAGAATACACCAAAACATGAAAGACTTTAAGATGAATCAGTCCTGAAATACTGAGGCAGTGACTATATGTTGCAGTTCACAAATTACAGGAAGATAGAATCATTTGAAGTATGTATGGCTAAATCAGTAGGAAATAAATATTAAGCAATAAATTTAATATACATAAAAATAAACACTTCTAATATGTAGCTATCATAAATCTTTAGAACTAGTAATGATAGTAACGTAGGTTGGGTACTGGGCTAAATCAAGGTTTGCAGTTCAAACCCACTAGCCTTTCTTTATGGGAGAAAATGAGGCTGTCTGTTCCCTTTAGGTTTACAATCTTGGAAACCCCATATAATAGTTGCCATGTGTCAAGTCGACTCAATGTTAGTGAACGGTTTGACTTTGGTTTTTACAGTAGTTAAGCACTTGGCTGCTAACCAAAGGTGGGTGGTTTGAAGCCACCAGCCATTAGATAGCATAAAAATTCTGGTCATCTGTAACCATAAAGATTAAAGTCTATGAAACCCCCTAAGGCAGTTCTAGTCTGTAATGGGTCTGAGACAGAACTGAGTTGATAGCATGTGAATAGCAAGAAAAAATTGTTACCTTTATTTGTGAGGTTAGATAATCAATCTAAGCCAAATGCGAAACAAGTATAGGAAAAAAGTCAATAATCAGAAAGTCATTTAGAATAATCATTGAGCACCTATACAATAGGTGCTTTACAGGACAGAAGCCCTACTGGGTCAGTGGGTTAGCTGCTAACCACATAGTTAGCATGGATTGCTTCAAAACCACCAGTCCCTTAACAAGAAACAAGGCTAGTTGCTCTTATAAAGATACGTAGTCCTGAAAACTCCAAGGAGCAGTTATACTCCGTCCTACAGGATCGCTGAGTTGGAAACAACCTGATGGGACGTGGATTTGGTTTTATTTTTGTCATTGTAGAAGAGTTAACCCAATAAGTCTGCAACTAATATGCTCAAAAGGCCTGTTTGCAAGGTTAGTTCTGGGATATTGTCTGGGAACTCAGAAGTGCTTCTATCATTCCCAGATCTGATACAAGTGCTCACTGTGTTTAAACTGTTAGTACAAATAATATAACTCATACTGAATATTTCCTTCCCTTCTGGGAGTCTGGAAAATTTGCTATGTATTAGGCAGAGGGGGTATCTATGTGATACCAGCCCCAATATAAATCTGAGTCACTGGATTCTAATGAGCTTCCTTGGTAGACAATGTCACATGCGATGTTACACATGCTGCTATGGGAATGAAGATTATTTTATGTGTCTCACTGAGAAAAGACCTAAGTTTGTATTGTTTTTTTCTCAAGATTTTGTCCCATACTTTGTTACTGATTTTATTTTGTATCCTTTCGTTATGATAAAGCACAACAGTATGACTATCTGCTGAGTAATAGGAGACCTGTTGGCGAATCGCTAGTGTGTTTGGGGGTACAGGTATTAAATCATGTGACTTGCATCATTTAATTCTTTCAAAATGTCTTAAAATATTATGATCTATTTTTATATAAAGCAACTAAGGTTTAACAAGGCAAAATGATTTCTACAAGCTTATAATGCTAATGTAACAGAGAATTCAAAGCCAGCCCCAATTTGAAAACACAAACTATTACTGTACACACTCGAGTATCAGCTGACCTGAATATAAGCTGAGGCACCTAATTTAACCACAAAAACCTGGGAACTAATTGACTCGAGTATAAGCGTAGGGTGGGACAAGCAGCAGCTACTGGTAAATTTCAAAATAAAAATAGACACCAATAAAATTTCACCAATTGAGTCATCAGTAGGTTAAATGTTTTTGAATATTTATTTCAAAGAAAAACAGTATGCTAGCTCTATAGGTGGAAAAAAGGGTTAACAAAAACAATATGGTATCAATAATAACACATGCTGTGTTACGGCATGTGCTGCATTACTATATATGCCATCTTACCACATATACACAATGCAGCTTGTATAGTCTGAGACCTAACGCAGGCTGATGATATTCCACAATGTGATAACATGACTGTTAGCAGAGAGCAGTCTGGTAGGGCTCATAATATATATGCGCTGCGTTACTGTATATGCAGCGTTACCACATATGAATGGGATGTGCGAATGCAACACATGCAGTAACACAATGCGTACACAACGCAGCGTGTATATTATGAGCCCTAACACAGGCTGCTCTATGCAAGCATAGTCAACACTGGGTCCAGATGCGGGTTAATAAGAAAATAAAAAATGGCAGACTAAGTCCTGTAAATAAATGTACTGTATATCCAAGACCAGAGATATACCAGCAATTGTATTCAGCAATGCTTGGGTGGAGCAAGGGGGCATGACCAAGCATGGGTAAGACTGTAAAGGCTATATCACTGGTCACTGCCCTGGAGATGAGCTGGAGAAGAAGAGTGGCTGCATCCGACATTCATCTGAAAAGGATGTGGTGTGCTCCAGTTACTAGCACACAGAAGCAGGCAAGTTCTTGCACAGCATGGCATGGACAACACAGAGGCTGCCGGGATGCAGGAGAAAAGAACGGTGATAGCAGCAGTCATCAGACCACCTACAAAAGCTGCATGTGCCCGCAGATAAGTGGGAGAGACAAAAGAGGTAAGTGGGACCCTGACTTGAGGAAAAGCCGAGGGGGGCTTCTTCAGCATAAAAATGTGAACAAACGTGATGGTGGTGGGACAAGAGGAAAGTAAAAGGAAATGAAGAAAAGAATCAGGGTGCAAAGGACATTTATAGAGGCCTAAATACAGGCATGTACATATGTAAATAGATAATAATGACAGTGGAATAGAACTATGTACTCATATCTATGTGTTAAGAATTAAGGTTGCAGATAGACAATGGGCCTTGACTCAAGTACTACTTCAACACAAGGACACTTTGTTCTAACAATCCAGTATTCTGTGATGCTCACCTTCTTGACTCGATCGCTGAAGACAAAATGGGTGCATAAACAAATGAGGTGAAGAAAACTGATGGTGCCTGGCTATAAAAAAATATAGCATCCGGGGTCTCAAAGACTTGAAGATAAACAAGTGGCCATCTAGCCGAGAAGCATTGGAGCCCACATGGAAGAAGCACACCAGCCTGTGTGATCATGAGGTGTCAATGGGATCAGGTATCAGAAATTAAAGATCCAAAAGTGAAAATCATATCGATGTGAATGAGGGGGAGAGTGGAGTGAAAATCCAAAGTTGATCTGTAGACAATTGGACATCCCCTTACAGAAGGGACACAAGGAAGAGAGGATCCAGTCAGGGTGCAGTATAGCACCGATGAAACACACAACTTTCCTCTAGTTCTTTGGTGCTTTCTCGGCCCCCCGCCCCCACCGCTATGACCTCATTATTACCTTACAAATTGGATTAGAAGAGAACATACACACCGCTACAGATAAGAGCCAGAAACACAAAGAATTCAGGATAGATAAAACTCAATACCAATAAGGAGAGTAGAGATACCAGGAGGATTAGGGGAGGGTGGGGGAAGAAAGAAGAAATCAATCACAAGGATTAACCAGTAACCCCCTCCCAGGGGGATGAATAAAGGAAAAGTGGGTGAGGGGTGATAGAGGACGATATAAGATATGAAAATAATAATCTATAACTTATCAAGGGTTCATAAGGGAAGGGAGGTAGATGAGGGAAGGGGAAGAAATGGGGAGCTGATATCAGGGGCTCAAGTGTGAAGTGTGAAGAGAATGCTTTGAAAATGATGGTGGCATATGTGCAAATGTGCTTGACACACTGGATGAATGTATGGACTGTGATAAGAGATGTAAGATCCCCCAATAAAGGCAAGAAAAAAGTGCTTAAAAACTTAGCTTCTACACAACTATATACGGTAGGTTGTATTACCTTTGTGATGAGCTGATTCGGCAATTTACTAAATGAATAAAGGCTAGAATTTTCTTTCATTCTTTAGGTAAAATTTTGTTTTAAAAGTATAAAAGTATTCCTGTATTATAGTAATATATTATATATATATGATCAAACTAACTAGCTTTTTGTAAGTGGTTTGATTGCTAGTAAATAACTTTTCAGTCTCTGTTCCAGAAAGCAAGGTGAGCAAGGAGATAAAGTTGAGTTTCTATTGCATAGAAGAATATTTCCTTGAAATATTTTACCTTTTTCTTTTATATAATCGTTTTCTCTAATATGTTTGCCTTTAAGTCAAATTATAAAAATTATCAGTAATTTAAGAATAGAAAACTGGTAAATGTTATTGCTGTGGAGAGTTTTTAGATAAATATATTTCCCATTTTTACAGAACATGAAAATTGGCCAAAGGAGTTGACTACCCAACGTGTTAACAATATTTTTCCTTTTGCAATTATGTTTTAAAAAAACCACACAACAAACACATTACTACTGAGCAATAAAAGAAGCATAAAAGCGCCATTATAGGAACACACAAAAATATAGGCTTGCTGATCTTAAACAGCATACATTTATTGTTTTGAGAATGATGATGGCAACGTATGTACAGATGTGCTTGACACAATGTACGGATATATGGATTGTGATAAGAGTTGTATAAGCTCCCACGCAAAGTATTTAATAATAATAATAATAAAAAAATCAGCTGGTGTTAAGAGTAATTATCTCCAAAGTAGAAGTCATTAGAGGAGAAAAATAACAGACCTATTTTTTTCACTTTGGAATTTTTTTGTATTACATGGCATATGCTATATTAAATATATGAAATAAAAATTTAATTCTTTCACAAATCATGTTGTTCTTAGGTGCCGTTTCTAACTTATGGAGAAAAAAGCTACGTACAGAAGAAACAAACACTGCTGAGTAATTTGAGAACTTCTACGGCTGAACCCACTGTCACAGTCTGTGGAAGTCACTATCTCATAGTCTTTCACCGATCCTCTACTCTACCAAGCAGGACGTAAGATGCAGTCTTGCCATTCTACCTTCTAGGAAGCAGTGTGGCTGTACTTTCAACGTAGATTTTGTCTGTTCTACTGGAGGACCATAATTTATTTAATTTAATGCATCGATTCTTCTTGGTTTTCTTTATTCATTGTCTAAATTTCACTTGCACATAATGTGACTGGAAGGAATATGGTTTCTGTCAGGACCCTTAGTCCACAAATTAACATCTTTGTTTTTTAATATATTTAAAAGTTCTTATGTAGCAGACCTGGCTAATCCAATACAGCACTCAATTTCTTCAGTATTCTTTCCATGGACATGGATTATAGATCCAAGAAAAATGATATCCTTGAGAACTTCAATCTTTTCTCCATTTATCATGTGAAAATTATTTTTATCTCTTTATATTAAGATATAATAAAAAAAGTATAATCCATACCAAATGCTATAGTATCTGATCTTCATCTTAGTAAATGCTTCAATTTGTCAATTACTTTTCACTTTTAGCAAGCAAGGCTGTGTCATCGGAAGATTGTTACTCTGGGAGAAAGAGGAGGCTGTCCACTCTGGTACAGATTTACATCCTCGTGAACTCACAGGTTAGTTCCACTCCATCCTTAGGGTTGCTCTCAGTCCGCACTGGATGGATGGCAGTGAGTGAGTAATGAATGACTCCAATTATGATGCCAGTCTCCTTCAAAGTCCCTCTTCTTATGTGCTCAGCATGCTTATCTTTTGACCATACTAACTCAAAACTATAAAATATTGTAAAAAGCTAGTTGGAGAGAAAGAATCACATACATGCTTTCCTTTTTTTTTTTACGTTTTCTGAAGATAGCAGACACTTAAAAACAATGTATCACATGCCAGAAAATAAACTCATTTATTCTGGTAGTTAAAAACAAAAACTTTAAAGATTATCTTAGATCTACAATGTTAAAATTTGGTGAATATGCAAATCCCTGTACTTACATCTCCGTCTGCCTATACTGCTGTTCTTGAAGACTAGCAAGATCCATCATATGTTTAATTTGTGCTTTCAAGTCTTTGGTTTGGATCTGTAAATGGTGATACCGAAGATCCTTATTGAGTTCCTGGAGAAAACAACACAAAATATATTGCAGATCTTATTAAAATGATAAAATCTGAAAGTTTTAATAAAATTAATTTTCTATTCATAGTATTCTCTTGTAGTCCTTATTTCTGAAGGGGAAAATAGCCCCACATTGATTTCTGATCTAGTTATCTGCATTTTCTCTTTTTTGTCTAGCTAAATAAAGGTTCACTGATTTTGTTGGTCTGTTCACAGAACTACTTTGTTTCACCGATACTACTGTTTTTCTCTTTTAGAGCCCTGGTTATGCATTGGGCTGGTAACCACAAAGGGAGCGGATCTAATCCACTAGCTGGTCAGCAGTAGAAAGCTGTGGCTTTCTAGTCTCATGGAAGCTAGTCTAGAAATCCACAGGGCAGATCTATCCTGTTACTACAGGGTCACTAGGAGTCAAAATTGACTTGATGGCAGAGTTGTATTTTATTTACCTGTTTGCTCTTTGCTATTTCTTTCCTTTTGGTAGTTTTGTGCTTAGCTTGATATGAGTCCTGGTGGCACAGTGGTTAAGCTTTGGCTGCAAATTAAAGGTCTCCATTTGGAAGCACCTCAGGAGAAAGCTGGGGTTTCTACTCCCATAAAAAAACTAGTCTCAGAAACTCACAGTGGCAATTCAACGCTTCCTATAGGGAAATTATGAGTTGGCATAGTCTTGTTAGCAGTGGAATTTGAGCACGTAGCTTGCTCTTTGTCTAGCCCCTCAAGCTATAAAATTACTGAGTTCTTAAATTTTTAAGCAGGTAATTGAAACCCCAAAACCAAACCAATGATCATAGTCAATTCTGACTCATGGTGCCCTAATATAGGGTTCTGAGACGGTAAATCTTTATGGAGTAGCAGCCTTACTTCTCAACCATGGAGTGGTTGGGGGATCTGAACCACCAAGCTTGCAGTTATCAGCTCAGAAACCTAACCCACAACCCCAAAGTAGGTTATTGCTGCTATAAATTTTCTTCTGAGACTGGCCTTTACTACATATTCCATAGAATTTAGTCTGTTGTACCTGTGGTTAGCAGCCCAACATATACCCAACAGTGGCACTAGTGCCCCTTTCCTTATATAACCTTACTAAATAATATATTGTATATTTATTTATATATTTCAGTATTTAAGCAAAATGAAATTTATCCAAAATTGTTTTATTGATAGTGTATATTTATTTATATGTAATTTTTTAAAATTAGTATCTAAACATGTAGATCAACTGCTAGAAATACCCAAAATTTTGCACCTTATTGAAACTCAAGTGCTTTCCAATACTGAATTTTCTTTGTAGAGCATATTTTAAAGTACTTGATAGATTAAGATATACTATTGTGAAATATTATAAGATGATCCTATTACCCTAACAGAAAGACTGACATGCTTAGCAAAGTATTTTTAAAGACTTCTAGAATAATCAGGTATAGATAACACTGTTAGAAAGCTGTCAGTACATATTCCACACTCAGTCACTATTGTCTTTAGCTTTCTTAAGAAACTGTTTTATGTTGTTGCTTGCTACCCTTTTGATCACTTCAAAATGTTACCACTAGCTACTAGTCTTCCCTCTCTCCAGTCATGTATCAGCTTAAAACTCACTCACCTACATGTCAACATGCATTCACTAAATCCTTAAATCATAAAATATATTATCTTTGAATATTAAAGATCACTAGCTTTATTTATCTGCTGCTTAATTTAAGACTCCATTTTTATTGGTTTTGAGTCAGGTGTTCTTTCAGAAATATGAAAATTTAAGCAAGCTAGGTATTAGATTGTACATTACCAAACAAGCTTATTGATTCACACACTCCTTATTGGACTGACTCACCCACTGCCACTGAGTGGATGCTAACAGTGATTGTATATAGGACACGGTATTCTGCTCCGGTGAGCTGCCAAGACTGTAACTGTTTACGGGAGTGCAAAAAGCTCCGTCTCTCTCCAACTGAGTGGCTGGTGGTTTTGAACTGCTGACCTTGAGGATTGCAAGCCAATTTATAACTACTGTGTCACTAGCCTCCTCCTTGTTGACTACAAACTCCAAAATCAGCTTCAAATCCTCAGCCTGCTCCCAAAAAGATTACAGCCTATTGGGTCACTATGAGTCAGAAAAGTAACGAGTTTAGTTTTCAGGAAAAAAAAAAAATTATAATTTAATGGTTTAGCCTTTTTAATCAAACTGTGTGTTAACTTCTAGTTTACGCCTCCTATTCACCCTGGCACTTTTTCTTTACAAAGAGAACGCCAACTTCCCCAGGGTACTGATGTGTAAACACTTACCTTCCAGCTACCATTGTACCCAGGAGCAGGCATACCACTCAGTTTCAGTCACTGCGTTTTATACATCGACAAGATTTTAAAAATCTTTTTGCTTTTCTGCCATAAATAGCTCCCTCTTTACTCTCCACTTGTGGTAAAGATGTGAATTTAAGACTAGAGATGAAATAGTAATACTGCAAACGGCCAGTATAATGATGCAGTGATGAAGAAATTGCACTGTCAATTTAGCAAAATAAACCTATAACTAGTTAAGCACTAGTGAGATTTTTGAAACCTTATAGCTGAACTGAATTCTAGTTTGATATATTTAGAAACTACCATTACCCATTAATAACCTAGTACTTTTAGGCCACTTTAAGTGCAATATCTTAAGTTCAGCACACACAATTTCAAATTTAGTTTTTGAAACAAAATTAATGATGACCACCTCAATTACTTTTTATGACATATCCTCAGGTCCAGTCTGAAGAGGAATTACTTTATTCTAATTTACAGGTGCTGTCTCATAAAACACCATTACTTTTCTGACATTCAAGAAAGGCTAACCTAATAGGGATTTTGTGAAACAGAAATGGTATATTCAGTCGTAACAGTCAAATGAGCCAATTAAGGTTCACAGAGATAAGTAACAACAGTGTCATAAAGATATTAACTCTACAACGACAACAGATTTAAAGAGTCTTATAAAATAATCTGAACATACAAAATATATCTTTACCTTTGAAATATGACCATTCTGACCTAGGAGGCTTATTTCATTTTCGACACGTAGGAGCCAATTTGTATTTGCATTAAACTGCTGTAATTCTTCTTCTCTTTTCTTTTCCAAGTAGGAACGATGAGTTTTCAACATTGTAACTCTATGATCTCGTTTGAAAGTGGCCTGAAACACAAGGTATTTAATAGTCAATCTAATTTTTATGATCTGTGATGCATACACTATTAGTAAAGTTGTATGTTTTCTTTAAGTTGACCACTGCAGTCTATTAAGATAGATTATATTTTTGTGTATTAAAGCTATTTCCTCCTTGAAACCTTGATAAAACTCTGCTTGCCAAAAAATAGGAAATTGAGTTAGTGAGTCATTTTTATAAAATTACACATTGAAAGTTTATGGTGTTCAGAAATAACATTGGCCAAATTAAAGTCTACAACTTTATTTACCAAAATTCACTTTGATAACATAATTTTATAAGTTTTTCTTCCTTAATCAGAGGCAAAGTAGATGCATGTTCTGCTCTTGTCATTTCTCCAAATGAAAAGAAATGATGAAATATAGTATTCTAGTGCTCTGGTTTGATCTGTAAGGCCTTAGATTGCTGGAAATGACAGTAAAGAGAACTTTTATCAGAAAGCTTATTTATCAGTATCTGACCTTGCTTGATGGTTTGTTCAGAAGGTAGAATGGGTATGTGAACTATTTCTGGTTGGTACTTTTAATTGAGGTAAAAATAGGCCCCTTGGAGTCCTGATGGTGTAGTAAGTAGTTAAGAGTTGGGTTACTATCGCCGAGGCCTGAAATTGTAATCCCGTAAAGAGTCTGTAATTTTTTTTACAAAGAGTTAACAGTCTCAGAAACCCATAAGGCAGTTCTATGGCGGGGTTGCTATAAGTCAGCACTGACTAGATGGCAGCGAGCTGTTTTGTTTGTTTATTACTCCAATGTAATTTTATTGTGGGAACTGTGGGTCTATTCAACTTGACCTCTCTAGGTTACTGCCAGTACATATGAACCCAACAAACAGCAGATACAATGAATGGATCTGAGACAATATAGCCGGATAGATTAGAATAAGCACCTTCAATTGTTTTATAGAAACAAAAGCGCAAGCAGTGTACATTTGAACTTTGAAGTCAAGTTCTTTAGTACCTTTTATCAAATATATAAATACAGCTAGCAATTATCTTTACTGACTAAGGTACAAACTTATGAGAGATTTAAAGTCAGACAATGGTAGACATAATGAAGCCATAATCAAATTACTCAAACCGGTCAACTGTTACTTGCTCTTCTTTTCAAGGGAAATATAAGCGTCAAAGAGAATCGGACTCCATTTTGGGCTAGTCATATATACATCAGATAAAAACTGGTGGATAGGCATCTTCATTCTCACCAAGGTTCTTGATTCTTTAAATTCTCTAATTATATCTCAATCACTCTTTGTCAATGTGAGACCAGAAAAAAAAAAGTAAACCACCACACCCACCATGCCCCCCCAACTCAAGATAATCAAGAAAACAAAATAAAAAACCATAATTTGATTAGTGGTCAAAATTATTTTCAAAATAACATTAAGATACAAATAGCTCCTTTCTTCTTGTTCTATCATACAGTAGTTTTCTACAGCTTAGAAAAATTTTAATAGTACAACTGAATTCTATCACATTGAAAATGAGAGATAGATGATATGAAAAGCCAGGTAATTAAAGAGTTCCTGAAACTTAAAACAATACCATTTTTCATTATCTAATTTTTCTTGTAATTATAATTATTATTTATTTTAACAATATTGTACCTATATTGATGTATAATGGCTTTCCATTTTAAAATATACTGAGTCAGAATTTACTTCACTGAATTTCAGTTTTAATTTCTAGAATGGCAATGTTAATGGACAGAAGTGGGATAAACTAAAGTTCCTAGGCCTTAAATATTTTTAAAAGTGAAACAAAATCCTGAACCTTGAGAAGTTTAGAACCACTGCTCTAACAGGTGAATGATGTGTTCCTGACTTACTACTGTGACTCAGCAGATTAAGGGAAGTCGATCTCATTGAGCTTTTAGTTACCTCATTTGAAAAATGAAGATAAAAGATGTGTGCCTGCCCAAAGGCAGTTGGCTAAATCAAGTTATCTTTATTTTGCTTTAAGACTTCTAAATTTTATAGGAACACATAGAAACTAGAGCAAAAGATTACCTATGAGTGTAATAGCAGCAAGATTTAAAACTGCAAAGAGCTGAATTACACCCCCCCCCAAAGTATGTTCTTGACAGTTCTTATATCTATTACCCATCAAACTGCATTCCTGATGATGTTCTTTGGGGGACATACGCATTTTGGGTACTCCCACCCCTCTTGAACTACTAACCTGTGGGGGTGTGGGGGGGAGAGCAAGTATGTTTTGAAGGCATTCTAAAATACCTATGTAATCTTGATATTAAAGCAAATTATTTCCCATTAAGATTTCAAAAGAACTTCATGTATTTCATTTAAAAATGCCCCAAATAATGTGCAAAGTGTTTAAAGGGAATACATAATTCTATAATTTCAGATATTGTTACTGCTTTGCTTCAAAGAACTGCTAATGTGATAAACTTATTTTATCAGAAATTACTTAGGGACTATCTTAATATGGCTATAAAATTACCCAGGAAATTTACTTTAGCACTAATCGCAGAATCCATATCATAGGGTAATTTATTATAGCTGAAAACAATTTCAAGGTCTTTTTATAGATTTTTTTGGTAGGTTAAAGAGAAATATAAAATTCTGTGCCTTAGCAGACAGTTGATATAAACATTGAATCTTTTGCTGTTTTCAAAAGTATTGCCAATGGCTGTGTTGTCCAAGGATGCTAAAGTGCAAATTTAATAAAATCTAATAAAGATTTAACTTTAATTTTTTTCTGCTTAATTTGAAATGCAAAGTGATGATTTTTTTGTAAATTAATATTATTTATAGGTATCAGATAAAATAATTAACCTCCATTTTCAAAGTTGAAATGTAGGGTGGAATCCTTTGAATCTATAGGACTTATCCATTTAAATTAGGACTCCAAGATGCGTCATTACTTTACTTCCACGACCATAAGCAAAATATTGAATGATGCAGAAAGCATCAAAAGAATATGTTAGGAATACACATAGTCACCATTATACCAAAAAGAATTAATTGACCTTCAACCATTTCAAAAAGTTACATATAAGAACCAATAATACTGAAGGAAGAAGTTCCAGGTATACTGAAAGCATTAACCAAAAACAACAATCCGGAATTGATGGGATACCAGTAATATGCTTCAAACAAGCTGATGAAGCACTGAAGCATCCACTTGTTTACGTCAGAAAATTTGGAAGAGGCTACCTGGCCAACTGACTGGAAGCGATCCATTTGTGTAAACCAGTGGTTCTCAACCTTCCCTAATGCCACCACCCTTTAATACAATTCCTCATGTGGTGGTGACCTCCCAAACCATAAAATTAATTTTCGTTGTTACTTCAGAACTGTAATTTTAGTACTGTTATGAATCGGGCAACCCGTGAAAGGGTTATTCGACCCCCAAAGGGGTCGCAACCCAGAGGCTGAGAATTGCTGGTGTAAACAATAATTAACTAATCATATTGAAGCTATAAAATATGTACGTATATATACATATCTGAAGTACAATACATACTAATTCGATAGTATAGCTTAATATCAGTAGATGAATCAGTATCAACGATACATTATTTTCTCAGTATTATTAAATCTTTGCCATCTAATAGATTGAGGAAAACAAAAAGATTACTTTAAAGCATACTAAAATTTGATCGCTTGTGGACATTAAAAGTATAAAACTTTTACATACAAAAGTCACGACTGCTGGAAAAGTGGGAAAAGAAATTTTTAAAATTCATAAACACGCAATTAATTGATGATCAATGAACAACAAAACTAGGTTGAATAATTAATTACCCAGAATTTTCAAATTTCTTTTTCCATCTACTATTTCACATGCCGAGATATACATATATTCCTGCTTAGGACTCATGTTTCTTGAATTCACATCTTATTCACATCCAACTAATCCTAAAAAATTCTTAGTCACACATTTTTTCCGTATCGCTTTTTCTGTGTCACATTATCTATTCCCCTTTTAAAATGCCTATTAGAGGAATTCATGACTTTCTCATTCCACCCTTCATAACTTCATCTTATTTAATTTGCCATCTCTTTATGCTACAAGTGATGTTAATCATTCACTTTCTTGATTTTCTCTATGAAAAAATGCAAAGGAATATAAACACAGGCTGGAATCACCATGAATTCAAATCACAGTTCTATACCTGTGCTCTTGAATAAGGTAACTTCACTCTGTACCTTACCTTTCTCACTTTAATAATGGAAATACGACTACTAGAGTCTCATAGAATGACAACTTAATGAAGTTAAAATGTTTTAAATAGTGGCTGATGGACAGTAAATGCTGCTTTGAGGTTCTACTTCACTAGGTTGAATTTGCACTGTTCTTGCCACATTCTCCAGAAGCACCTTTGTCAAATACTATTTTCTATGTCAATTTCTCACATAATGAAGATTTTCCAAACAAAAATTATGGGTAGTAAAAACTGGAATGTCAATTTCTTTTTAAAAGCAAGCCTATCGTGACCCCAGCCATGGTGTTTTCACTTGCCTCATATGCATGTGAAAATTCAACACTGAAAAAGGAAGATGGAAGAAGAATTGATATGTCTGAACTATGGAGCTCGTGAAGAATATTCCAAGTACTATGGAATGCTAGAAGAAAAAAAAGAACTTTCTTGGATGAAGTACAACCAGAGTACTCATTAGAAATGAGAATGGTGAAATGTATTCTCATGTACTTTGCAGGTGTTATCAGGAAAGACTAGTACCTGAAAAAGGACATCATGAAAGAATTTCATAAACCCTACAGAAGCAAAATCAACATGCGGTTCTATTAGTTTGTTTCCTGCTTTTGACACCCAAGATTTAACTTTTTTTGGTATACTTAGTTTGCTACAATTTCTCCAGCATTTCCTGCTGCTTACACAAAATAGGTGATTAATATAGGGGTCCTTGCCTACCATTACGAAGTTTTATACCAGTTCTCCCCCGTTAACTCATTGAGTTTACCACAAGGCCATATTGGAGTGTGTTGGTTAGTGGGGTGTCCTAATCCAGTAGGTGTGAAGTCTTTATGTAAGAGCGGAAACTCGGACATAGGCCCAGAGAAGGAAGATGACTATGTAATAGAGTAGAATTAATATGATGTACCTCCAAGATAAGGAATGCCAAGGATTTCCAGCCATCACTAATATCTAGAGAGGACCACAGAATAGATTCTTCTTCAGAGGCTCCCGAAGAAACCAGACTTGACTATGAACAGTTAGCTGTTAAACTGAGACAATAAGTTTGTTCTTATAAGCTACTCAACAAGTTGCTAGAATTAGAAATACTTTATGTTTTCATAGTTTCTAAAATGTCATCATAAAATTGTTAAACACCTTTTCTACTTTGTCTTCAGAGCACACCATTTCAATTTGTTTAAAGCATTGTTGTTCGTGATACATCTTAAGTTCATTTTCCTTTAGTAACATTTCCAACTTCAAATAGTCTTGTCTGATTTCTCCTCGATTCTGGAACAAGCAGGTCAGAATTTCTTGAAATCTAGAAAAAATATACTAAATTCATTAAAAAATATTACATGCAACCCCTCCCCCCAACATACATTGTAGAAACTATTTTTTTTGATAAATCAAAGTATACTTATAGTATACCATAAATTAAATCCATGAACAGATGAATTTATACCACTTGAATAGTTAGATTCCATGAAAAACAGCAAGCAAGTGATGCTTGGAAAGGGCTATTAAGCTTATCTCACTAGGTTAATTTTTTTTCTGTTTCATCTTCTCATTGTCCAAGGAAGATCACGTTATTCAAATATAGGAATCATAAGTCTTCTTGTAGTACTAATATTTTGTGTCTATTTGTATTTATATGTAATACAACAGCTTAGTAAATATATTTGTTTATAGAAAAGGAGTGATAATCTCAACTCCAGTTGCTTTACAGCATCATGTTGCAGTCTAGTGTTGGCTCACTGTTTAGAAATAAGCAGTAGGAGGGCATTATCACATGGTACCTCCATGGCCCCCTAGTGAAAATGAGAGTCAGTTTTCAGATTCAGAATTTTTATAGTGAAAACACACCATACGGTTAGGTACCCCCTACAGATTGGCATAAGAGCCAGCTGACATTGCCAGGGCACAAAACATCCAAGTTAAGAACATGGTAAAGCTAAAAATGCTGCTACACTGTATTTTTTATAAAGGGCAAAAGGGATCTAGAGAATCAAAGTTGAGGACGCTGACCCAGATCTCCTCCGAATGCATAAAGTCTTCCAGCTAATTTCTGAAAGTCCCCAAACATGAAATTCTGTGTCTCCCTGGGTCAAGAGAATAGTCTACTTTTATATAAATACATTTATACTTTTAAGTAATAGATCATCTCAGAGTTATAGTGATAGTATAAGCAGTCACATATAGGCAAAAATCTGTAAGGAAAATGAACTGTAAAACTCTGAAATAAAAATCATAATAAAGTACATACATTTAAAAATAAATGTTCTCTGGCTAGAATTTTAGATATATTTGTAAAGATCTGTGGTAAAAACACAGCCAATTTACGTCAGTAGTTATTAATGAAATTCTAGTGGGAATGAATACAAGCCACAACACATTGACTTTACTGCAATTTTGTCTAACTAATAAATATTTCAGATGGAAATATGTAGGGACCTTGCAATTTCATTGTATTATATTGCAACAACGCCAATGCCAGTAAATGAATTGATAAGGTATCTTTAGGTTATACCCAAAGATTTCTTGATTCCTCTGTAACTATACCCAAGGACATATTGAAATAGTTGACAATTTTGTGGTCCATACTTATTTTAATTGGTGGTGTTTACTATCTAGGGTGAGAGGAAGAGCGTAGGATCAAAGGATGTTTCTAGAGAGTGCCCTTTAAAAAGACTGCATCATTTTTAAAAGAGAAAAGTAACTTAAACAATGACTATTATTTATTTTCTAATCATTCAAAATAGTAAAGTAACTAGAAAACAAAGGCCAGCACCAATATTTTAAGTGACACCTACTAAATATAACCTTCATAGATTTCTTAGACTAGTCAAAAGTAAAGTTATATTACTATTTTCTAAAGAACAATTACATTATCATTCTATGATTTCCCTTTGAATAATATCTTTCTTTTATATATTTAAAAGACATAGTTTTATGTTTTGATGGAAAAACAAACTTTTAAACTCATGTCAATAAAAATGTCTCCTCTAACAATGATTAACAGAACAAAGTTAATTTACATAATTATGTCAGCAGAATAAAGATGTTTTTATATTTCTCTTAAGAACTAGTTATGTTTGAGGGAAAATGTCAAAGGTTATATGGTATAGATTTTATTTATTATTACCTTCCTTATAAATAAAGAAAAGCATTTACCATGTTCTTAGAAATTACAACATGGAGTTTTTGTTGTTAAGGAAAGGTCAAGTTGAAATTTTAAAAAATCTGGAATCAAATAAGTCTACTAATGATCCTTGGAGCCAGGGATGGAAAACTTCGTCTCATGTACTTTGTACACGTTATCAGGAAAGACTAGCCCCTGGAGAAGGCCATGCTTGGATGGCCAGTGAAAAAGATGAAGGCCTTTAATGAGATGGATTGGTTCAGTGGCTGCAGTGATGGGACTCAAGCATAAAAATAGTAAGTGAGGATGGCGGCTTAGCACCAGGTGGTGTTTTGTTCTGTTGTAGATACAGAGCACTACGAATAGGAAAGCAACTGGACTTGGTTAAGAATTGGTGAGCTATTCTATGTAAGTAAAGACTCCAATTAGTTGGTGATTTTTTTTATCCTTTTAAAGAATTTTGCATTTAAGAAAAAGAGATATCTCATTGGATGAGGACCAAACCTATACCGAACTTTCTAAAAATGAAGTAACAACTAAAATTATATCAATGTTAAGTGTTTTCTTTAATGAGATTAAATAAATATAAGTAATCACTTGCAATTATTTATTTAAATAACCCTTTTAAGTTGGTGGGATGTAACAAAAAAGTATATGCCTAATATGAAAGCATTATTTTGAAATGGGTTGTTATAGAGATTAGCACTTAAAATACTTTAGAAAATCTCCAGTATAAGCAGATCTTTTATAATGTATCCATAGTATGAAAGTGACTTATGATCCTGATAGAGACAAAGCTGTTAAAATTACTTATAATGCTTGTCAAGTAGCACAAAATGGGCGCAAAGGGATTAAGATTTGAAAGGTGTGATTTATAGCCCTTATACGTAAGTGAAGACAAAATACTTCCCTGTTATTTTGTATGGCTGTAGGCGATTCACGCGGTTAACGTGGATCTAACGTAATTGAAAAAACAAAAAACTCTTAAAGTCATATACAAAATAAAATCACATTATTATTAGCTACCTCAGGGTCTACAGCCATTTAAATAGGCCAAAAAAAAAAAAAAAAAAAAGCTTTTCAAATCAGTGATGTTTTCTGCAAAACCTTGTCAAATTCACTGCCATTAGTTGATACTGACTCATAGCGAACCCCCATGGGTTTCTGAGACTAGTTATTTACTTACGGGAGTAGAAAGCCCTGTCTTTTTCCTAAAGAGCAGCTGGTGGTTTCAAACTTCCGACCATGCCGATCATAGTGCAACACATTACTCCTATACCACCAGGGTCTCAGTAAGACCTTGTAATGATGTGACATTACTTACTAAGGGTTCTTCTATTACCTTATAACTCACCCCAAATGATCAGATGGGATCAGGCAAATAAGGTTTAGAGGATTCTATCTCAGATTGGTCAGTTTTCCCATTGCTGGAGAGCCAGCCATCTCAGAAGCAAATCGAGAGAGCTCCCTGACAGGCAAGAAATAAAAGCCACCAGTAGAAAACATAGGAAATCTCTACCTCAAGTGTCAGAGAAGTGTGACCACAGTACAGAGACCATGAGACATAGCAGAACTGTGCCACTGAGACCAAGGAGTAGAGAAGCAGAGCATCAGTACCTTTCCTGGTCACTGAGGCAGAGGTCAAGATCAGAGTGAGATTTGCTGGCCAACAGAGAAGTAAGGTTGTGGACCAATATTTTATGATTTTGACTTGTGGCAACCTATTAATTCCCCAATAAACCCCCATACTTGTGAATATTGTGAGTTCTATAAGGCCATTGCAACAAATTATTGAAGCCCAGAAAAGTGGAGTGCAGTGGGAGGAACAGTCGTTGTCAGAATAAAGTAAAAGAAGGAAGAAAAGTAGAGCCATGCCTGACCTTTGTGATTTAGTAATCAGCTTTGGGCTGGTGAGGAATTGGATTCTCCTTTCTACTGAGGCTAGGTTAGAGGAGGTCAGTTGTAGCAACCTCCAAGTTTTCTCAGATGATTAATTTAATAACAACAAAACACTATTATCACAGTAGATTCAAAATCACTATTACTTAGACCTTTCTTTATGCACTTTCTTATTCCCCTATACACTTCAAGACTCCTTCTTGACCCCTTTATGCATTGTAAGACAAAAATATGCAAAATACTACTAAGTTTTTATTAGCTTCTTATGAACTGGAGAATCACAGAAAATTAGGTCTGGAGAGCTTCAAACAAGTTTAAATTTAGCCAATGCTAATCACAGTTGGTGAAATTGTTTTATTAAAAAGATTCTCGGATCTTTTAACACAATGATGTATTTTGTCCCATCTCTTAGATTCATTCAATAAAACTCCAGAACAAAATTCCTTCAACAAAATTCCAGAAATGGTTTGGTTTCCTCGAACAACTCAAGAATTTCCATTTCTTGAACTAGTATCCTAATGGTGCAATTCACAAAACCTAATTATTTGGGTAAAAGCACATTTATACAATAAATGATGACTAATATTAAATATCTGGTTGATTTAAAACTACATATACCTTAAAATGAAATTTTCTTTTTTACCTTTTGATTTCTTTTTCCTGAGGGTTTGAAATCGCTAATTTTGTTTTGTGATTTTCATCAGCGACAGCTTTCTGTTCTTCATAAGCTTTTAGCTTTTCTTTTAACAATGAAATCTAGTAAACAGAAAATACTAGTTAAAATTACACAATAAGTATCCACTACTCATGACTATCATTCTGAAAACACAGTGAAATTTTGGTAGGAGGAAATAAACCAAATTTCTAGTGTAACACACAAATATGTTTCAATTTTATGGCAGTTAAGTTTGGGAGAGGTACAAGGGGACAACAAAAAAATAAAAATAGGCAAGTAGGAGGCAGACTCCCATGAGCTGAGGAAAAAACTGAGGTAGGTTAGCAAAACAATGTAAGAAGTAGACATACCTCTTTCTTCTGCTCATTACAGATCTTTACATATTGAGTTATATGACTGTTCAGATTAAGAACATTGCTCTTCAACTGTTAAAAAGAATTTATCAGTGAGTATAAAGATATCATAATCAATCCTATATACAAACATGATGGTATTAGGTCCTCATTTATTAGCCTCCATTAATTGCAAATTTAAGATAATTATGATCACGAGACAATCATGATTAGCTATGTACACATTTAAAATATACAAGAGGACATGCTGAGCACATTAATATCAAAAATAAAGCCATAAAGAATTCATTCTACTACTTGAGAAAAGATACTTTTAATTATTGAAGCAATTATTCACAATATAAACTATGCACTCTCTATTTCCTTAGATATCTAAGAAATCTGAAGTAAATGTTACATACCACCCTGTGAGAGGTTTTGCGTCAACATGGCTTGGTCAGGATTCTCAGTGATTTGGCAGTTTAGACCTCGTAGTGTCCCATGACATGACTTCTGGTTCTTTGAATGTGAGCCAGACACAGCTCCAATCCAGCAAAAAGAAGCAAGGTTTCCCAGGGTGTCCTTAGGGAGTATGTGACACAACCAAGGAAACTTCCTTTCAATCGCCCAAGGGCTGTGACCTGACATAAGGGGATCGCATTCCACACTAATCTTCTTATAACTAACAGGCTGCTAATAGCAGATCCCATTATGGAGTTAGGTTTGTTAGGTTATATCATGGAGCTTTAATAAGACCCTAACAGCAAAAATGAGTCAGTGATCTTATAAGGGTAGAGTTGCTCCTGTGAGGTTCTCAAATCGTCACTCTCTATGGGAGAAGAAAGCTCCACAATGAATCAGTATCGATCAAATCGATGCCAATGAGTTTAGCTTTTGGAATGGCAAAATCACTGAGAACCCCAAACCAAATTGACACAAAACCTATCCCACATCTATTCACAAATTCAACTAGGTTTTATTGAGTTCTTATAAATTATCCTTTTCAAATAGGGCCTTTGGCAATGGAAATAGTAAACAGAACATTAAACATACACGTCTAAATACTTGATTCTGAAGACGTGCCCACGAGTCCCTTACATGTCCTTTACGATCTTAGAATTCAGAGTATAGAAGTCTTTAGTATTCAGAGTACTGACTTTCTCAATGGTAAAACGAAGCTAAACATTCTATCCTCAATGGGATAATGCAAAGATTATACTAAAAAGGATATAAAAAGCCCTTTTACTTCCATATAGTATAGTAATATAATAATGGATCTTTCCTAAGCACGTAAATAGGATAGAAACATTTCTCTAGGGAGGGCACTGTTTCATCCTCAGACAGGGGACTGTATGAGAGGCCAGGTGGCAGAGGAGTCACTGTACCAGTTATTATCTATATCTCTTCCCATTCTGAGATCACGCAATTTTAAGCATCACAAAATGGTTATAAGAATAACGAAGTGATTGTTTATTAATTATGTTTCCGGAGCTAAGAGAGATTGATTACATCTGCATCAGGGGCATGGAAAGATAATATTTATAAAGGTTACTTAAAAATTTAAATTAAAAAGTTAAAATAAAATCCACTTGTCACAACTACATTACAAAGAAGCTATATACCTATTTTACAGATGTAGTAACAAAAGCTTGAGAGATTAACTACTATGTTCAAGTGCTGGTATTGGACTAAAGCAGGGCATCATCCTTGGTGCTGTAGATGTGGTATAGCTCTGCAGAAAAACGGATGCCCTCAAGTACTATCTATGTAGCCAAAGTCTTGGCCCATAACTCCCAAGTGTCATCCAAATAGCATGTCATGATAGAGAAAGTGTTAGAACACCTTACTCCCCAAAAGACTCAGTAATAGAATAATACCATTATAAATGTAACAGAAGGGTTTAACTGTCTGAGCGAATACTGAATTAAACAGGCCGGTAAGTACATTTCTAATTCTGTCGTCTAACTCATTAAAATAGATTAATTAGATTATATTAGAATTGCAAAAATAATATAAACCCAGTAACAACGAAGACATAGTTTATACACTTACAGAAGATTTAATGTCCTTGGCACGGTTAGCATATTTAAGAGTGTTATAGGTATCATCGTAGAACACAGAGGAAGGACTCACAGCAGCTATCATTATAGTTTGACAGTTTCCTCCAAGAGAATCCTTTAACAAACGAGTGAGCTTACTATTTCTATAAGGAATATGTTGATTCTTCCTCTGAAAGGTACAAGAAGAGAATTCTTAGGTCATTTCCATGTTTAAATGCTAATTTGCTACCACTTCACTCTGAAGAATCTAAAAACTGCCCAGTTTTGCCCAGACTTACATTAATTGATGATTCAGTTGATATAATGAATTATAATGAAACTATTTGGTGAATATATAAAGCAAACATTTTAATTTAAAAAAATCACATCTCCATCTGAGATTACTTTATTTCATAATAATGTATTATTAGTTTAGTTAGAAGGGCCATCCTAAGATGAGATGTTTAACAATAGAGAAACTAGGTATAGGATATGGAGAAAATTTCTTGACTATCTTCAAGTTTCCTGTACATATAAAACTCTTCTAGAATGAAATGTTTATTCAAAAATATTTCTTTTCATTTTTTAGAAAGGAATGAAAATATAAAAGTAAACATTTACACACTAAACAAACATGGCGGGCCCTTGGTAGTTCACTCTGAGAAAACCATGTTGAATTCCCATCCAATGTAAGTAGAGCAGTTACCAAAAATCATTCGTCAACCGAGGCTTGTATGTTGCTATATTGATGAACAGATTTCAGTAGAGTTTCCATATGGAGACAGATTAGGACTAGAGGGATTTCAATTTACCCGTATATACTCGTGTATAAACTGAGCTTTTCAGCATATTTTTAATGCATTTTTTGTGGTAAAATTAGGTGCCTTGGCTGATATTCAGGCCAGCTTATACTCGAGTATATACGGGATTTATGAAAACTCAACCAAAGAAAATCCTATGGATATCACAATGGTCTTGTGTATGGGTTGCTGTAAGTCGGAAACCAATTCAGTGTAAGCTAACAATAAACAAATACACTAATAAAACAAACAAACAAACCAGTTGCTATAGCTTCCTACTCACAAGGGATCCTGTAAGACAAAATAAAACTTCAGAGACGCTTCTGAATCAATTCTGAGTCACAGAAACCATGGAGACTGAGCAGAATTTCCCCCATAGTTTCTAAGGCTATATATATATACATATGGTAGCAGACGGTGACACTTTGTCCTAAAGTATAGCTGGTGGGTTCAAACTACTGACCTTTCGGTTAGCAGCCATGCACTATAAACCCGGAGCAAATAAAGATCCCTTAATATTGAGTTTTTCTAGGCTTTCATTTAATTAAGATACAGCTCTGAAATTAAATAATCTTCCAAAAAGTTTAACTTCTATACAAAAACAAAGTGTTAATTATAATGTTAAATTAAAAGCAGGCTCAGCTTAACCAACATAAATATTTAATAATCCAAAGAAGAAAATGAAGCTAAGCAAAATGTGAAACGATTGCCTCAGGTCACTTAACTGGCAATTCAGAGTTCACAATCAAGAGTTAGGGCCCCCAACTCCCCCAAGTACAATGTTTTCCACCCATATAGTAAAGAATATGCATCACTGCAGCCACTTGGAAGTATTTTACATATACTCAGACTGAAAACTCACTTGCCATTCCATCAATTCTGACTCATAATGACCCTATAGGACAGAACAGAACTGCCACTATGGGTATCCGAGGCTACAAGTCTTTATAGGACCATTAAACTTTATCTTTTGCCCAAGCAGCAGCTGGTGGATTTGAATTGCTGTGATTAGCAGCCCATTTGTAACCCACTCTGCCACCAAGGCTCCTTACATATATATGAGTCTGAAAATAAATGGAATTCAGAGATAATGGAATTGCTCCATGAACTTTTCAAAGCGCTTTGCTATATGACATCAAATGTTGATAGTTGTTTTACTTTCAATCTGTTTTAATGCTTTCTGATTCTTACTATATATAGTAATAGGTTGTACATTTTCTTTAATAGAAGGAAGTTACCTTTTGGCCTTTTCTGGGAAATAATTTCCTGAGTAATTGACATATCTTGGTATCTAAACATCTGATAATTTGTGTACGTGAGTGTCACAAAGATCACTTGGTCGCTTGATATTTGCGGACTTTATGGAGTTCATGCCTATGCAATGATACTTCCATAAAGATTTGGACATCGAGTCCTATGAGTTTCTTGGATGGAGAAAGATACTGGTGTATGTGGGAGAGGAGTACATCCCTTAGGTGGAAAATGTGCTGTTATGTCTCCCATACCTTTTCCTAAGTGTCGGTGTACATTTACTTAAAAGGAAAAAGAAAAAGCAATAATATCAAGAGGTGCCCCCATTTAATGTTTCTCTCTCTCCATTACATTACATTAATTACTACATTACATTAATGTCTCTATTACATTGCTGTAATAGGGGTATGATTGTAAGTGTGTATTATCTGTGAGTTCTGTAAGTTTTTCCAAGTGTTAAAACCAATAGCTTGGAAATGAAGGAGCTCAGAGGGAACTTCTAAAGCATCCGGAACGAGTAGAGGGAGAACCTCACACCTGTGGTAGTAAGGATGTTGTCTAGAGTGCCAAATTTATAGGGTATCTGCCTATGAGGAAGCACTTCGATTAGGTAGTGCTCTTTTAACTTGTGAGATCTGAACTAGGGTGTGATTATGGTGTATAGGGCCAGAAAAACAAGTGCTACCAGGCAGCTGGCATGAGGACTAAATAGATCAGCTAAGTGGTCACCTGATTATTATCCTCTTAACTTTATATATAGTGCTATCTATCTAAGTTCTCTCTCAAGAGAAAGCTGCTCTCTAACTCAACCTTCAGCAAGCAACAATATCTAAGCAGCATTTAATAACATTGTCTTGTTTTCATTGTACTTATTTTATGGTTGCCTACTATTTATATCCTGCAATATTTGTTTTCGGTTTATGTGAATGGTATAAGGTGCTTTTTAATATAAATTCATTTAAGTAAAACAGAAGTCAATTACAAATCATATGAATGGCTTGATTTTAGAAAACAGTTCCCATACCATTTGATTTCTTTTGTTCAGATTTTACCTTAGAATAGAAAAGACACCTTAATTTTTCAATCTTCAGTAATTTTTTTTTTTTTTAATCTTCAGTAATTTTTGTACCCTGCCATTTTTTAAAAAAAGAAACATTCCACAAGTTCTTATGTTAATCTATTTTATATTAATCAAAGTGTGTAATTTTGAACAGTTCTAAGAGGATTTTCCTAAAACCTTTTGGGTGGGTTTGAACTCAAATTAAATGACCAAATTTTAATTTAAAAAAGGATGTTGCTTTTACTTACAAACATAGGTTGTCAAATAGGATGTGAGTTCCCATAAACATTTCTGGCATGTTATATACATGTATGTTTTCAAATGTCCAAAGCATTTGAAAGGCTAGTAAATATTATCTTACTACATGATTTCCTTACTTATTACATTTTAAACCACTGTTCCTTTTAAAAAAAATCCGTAATACTTGGCACAATGTTTACTGTGTAACACTAACCTCAATAAAATTAAAATTTTGGAAATATGCTTTCTGTTTTGTTTTCATGCTAATTCAGATATACCTGCTTTGGTATAGTAATCACTTAATTTTAGAAAATCAAGTTCAATATAAGTAATGGAACTGGTACTATAAAATACTAATTATCAGTTTATTAAAGTGTATTACTTTTCATATGACCAATACTAACAATAATATTCAACCAATATGGATATTCAACCAGTACCAAAACTGAGTTAAAAACAAAACAAAACATGGCTTTATTTGATAGAATAGGCTCTCTGGGGTCTTTGATCTACATGTAAACATTATTGATCTGTTCCTGAAATTTGAATTGAAATGTTAAAACAAAATTCTATTAATAACTTGTTAGGAGTTATAAATGTTCCAAATAAAATAGACAAATATACAGTACCAACCTTTGTATCTGCCAAAGCATTGATGACATTCCCAAGAGCTAAAAGTGATTGATTAATATTTGTGCCTTCTCTAAAGTGGATACCTTGAGCACTTGTCGCATTAGCACGCTCGGACCCTGCTAAGTCAATGAGTGACATCTTGGCAATACGAACACTTTGATTGATGCTTGCTGTTTTGTCTTGCTGTCGCAAATAAATCTTTTAGAAATTAAACGCAAATAAGAAAAGTGGGTGTAAGATTTAACAAAATTCAAAGAGAAACACTTTATTTTTAAAAAGTGAAATTAAAATTATTTTCATTAAAAAATTAATGGAACAAACTATGATTCAATTCATGTAGGAATATCTAAAATAACAAACCTAGGAAAACATGACAGACTAATAAATCTTGACCTAATAAGAGGTGAGAACAATGGTCATTTGTATTCTACTACCCTTTGAACAAGATCACTGGAATTATCAAGAGGTAATATGGACAGAGGTCTTTTGGAATAATGTTCCTAAGAGAAACCAGAAGTAGGAGTAAGCTAAATTTGAATGCTGACCCCCAAATGAAGAATGAATTATTTTAAATTTCTAAAATTGGTTAATTTTATTGTAATTGAGAAAATGCTACATATAAAAGGCAATTCAGTAAATCTGTGATATACAAATATTCATTAGAACAAACCATAATTTATTCAATTACTTAAAGCAAATTTCTAACAGTTTAATTAAAATACATTAAGTGGAAAACTTAAAGAGGAAAGTAATTCTTACTCCAAAATATAAGTTTTATTACAATTTTCTTACCAAACAGAGTCTAAGAATTAGAAAAGTCTTAGTGTCACAAATAAACATTTCTTTCAGTTATTGGAAGGAAATGTCAAAAAGCCAGCAATAAGATTAAAGAAACTTAATATAATTTTGTGTATTGATAACTTTACAAATGGTTCGATTACCTTAGATATTTAATTAATGCAATTTTATTCTGATGAATTCCACATTATAATCCAGAGTAAGTCTTATAATAACTTATATGTAGGTATGTTTATATATAATCTATATATAAAACTATAAATAATAATGGACACTTATGTTTTGGCTCTTTCTGGAATTATATTCCTAAAAAGTACTATATCAACTTAATTACACTTCATTAGTGGCAAAGAACTTACAAAATGCAATGGTCAATCTTTTAAAAGGGGAACCAATATTTTTCCCATTTATTGGTCTTAAAAATCTCAGTTTATAAAGCAAAATCTTGTTCAAAATTAAAATATTTAACCACTTTAGAAAAAAAATCTTATACTTCTTTGCCATCTTCTTCACAAAAATGGGAATTTACATTTCTGATTTATGTCCTCTCAATTCTAAATATTTCCAGTGATAGAAACTTCAGAGAGCTGCAAAGCAAAGGATGTTCTGAGAAGTAGAAGTCCGTAATGAAGATGTATTTTTTTCTTATGAATTGGACTTTATTTATCTTACATTCAGTTTTACAAGTGATAGTCTAATGGTCTGTTACCTGGAAAACAGCATGGGAACGAGAAGATGTTGCATTTATATCAGTGGGATGCTGTGTCCTGTTTTTGTTTCCATTATCCAATAGCTGCAAAATTTCTTCTGAGGATTTTGGCTAATTTTCCAGATGAAAACATACAAATTAGTAATCTACCTTTCAATTTTTCTGCATGGTTTCCATAAACAAGAAGAATTTTACTCAGGTCTGGAAGTGAACTCACTCATGAAAGAATAATCAAACATTTAAAATTAAAAGGGCAACATTATCCAAGGACAAATTTCAGAGAGTTAGGAAAGGAGGAGGAATGGAAACAGGACATACCAGGAGGAAGTCGGATAGGTGAAAGTACACAGAAGAGATTGCAATGCATGAGTCAGGACAAATGTATATGAATTACAGAATGTGAAACATGTCTACTCTGTAAAGGTACAGCTAATTCACAAAAGTTTTCAATAAAGTAGTAAAAATAAAAGTTAAAAAAATGTTTAATGTAAAAAATAAGAACATGTTTTCTATAAATCCAATCCTATTGACTGTGTGTCATTTACTTAGTTCACTGGTAGGCGTTTTACAAAAATTAATAAAATTCTTCTAGTATTTCTAAAAAGATTTAAAAAAATGCATGATACAGAAAAATGCATGATATTAAATGTATTAAAAGACAAGTTCATCCAATTTTTTCAAAGTTAATAAAAAAGAATAATCAATTCTTGATCATTATATTTCTATACTTCTTTAGCATTCTCTTTTCTCAAACAAGACGGTAGAAGTGGCTAAATAACTACACTTGCTATCCTATCAAGGAGAAAGCAAGTCTATAACACATACCTGGTGTAAAGTCAACCCTTGAACAACTACCCCTTTTTGGGCATCTTCGCGCACAGCAAGTGGCCCTGAGTTTACTAAGAGGTCACGAATCTGTTCATTGTACACCTTAAGATAAAAGGAAATGCTTTAGTGTTAATGGAAAATGAGTGATAACCTTATAAATGAATGCATGTAGACACAAACACACAATCCTAAAGACAAGCAACAACTCATTTTAATTGATTGCCACCTCATCTATTTCATATTGCCTTAAGGATACGAATTTCTGCCACCTTGGAAAAGAAAAGACTTTAATTACTTAGATTTAGAAATTGAAACTTCACATTGGAATCCCAATACCCTCACCCTACAAATCCCGACTTGATGACAATAAAGAAACAGAGATAAGACAGTGGAAATTTTTCTTATTTTCTAGAACTACAGTGTACACATAGTCGTGGGAAATTCGAGAGGATATGAAATGCAGGTTGAATAAAGCTAACAGGATTCTTACGGAAGACGACATTTAATACACCATGATTAAAATTTAAAGAGAACCCATATTTAGGGATATATGGTATTAACATAATTTATCCTTAAATTACATTAAGTTTAATATGTAATTCTTAATAATAAATCACGAGAGCTTACTTTGAATGAAAAGGTTAGGTAAGTCTCCAAGGTTACAAGGTAGTAACAGATCAGGGATTAGAGCCCCAAATGCCTCACGCTATTACCTGGTATCCTGTCACATCTGCAATTTATAATTGATGCTTTTCTTTTTTGTAAAATACAGAAACAATACAACTTACTGATTTTATGGAGTTAATAAAGGTACAATATTTATTACTTGCCCACCAAATTACAATTATAACTACTACTGATAAAATATTAAAGAAACAAAATTTATTCTATAAAAGTATTTTATGTAAATTACTTTCATGTTTTCATAGCCCATAGTGATAATTCATTATTAGTGAAATTTTCTAAAATAAATGACTAAGTATTTTTAAGTGCAAGTATATAGTAACATAGTAACATGAGAAGATAGTTTCTGAAGTTGATTTCCTGAGAAGGCGCAATTACTTTTCTGTTGCATCTCCTAACCCACTTAAATCATGTCAAATACACAACTGGAATGTTCACGCTCACGCTAGTTTATGCTTCTGAACTCCTGAAAGTATTTAAAATATAGAGTTGCCAAGGTGAAACCTCAAACCTATTACATTGATACTTAGGCCCAGGTATTTCTACTTAAAAAAATAGAAAATCCCATGGATATTTCTGGTATAGAGCTTGGAGAGACAACCCTCAGAGTAGATACTGCCTTACCACTAATAAAACAGAAGCAAACCTAAAAAAAAAAATCATTACAACAAACCAAACTAAATCATGAAAATATGCACTTTTAAATTTGTCCTGTTATACAAGAAAATATTGCTGCCCCTTTTAACTAAACAAGTTCAGAACAATTATATTCACAATTAACCATAGGTAAAGAGTTTTAATTTCATCATAGCTCCAGGTTCTAGACTAACAAGAAAATTTCTAGCAACATATAAATTCTATCTCCCCTTACGAGAAGAAACAATCTAGACCAGCTTGTTAACAATCTAGATGATCTTGTTAACAAGGTAGCTGTGACTACTGGATTATAACAAACTGAACAGCCTTGAGAAGAATGTGAATTCCAGACAGCTTCATTATGCTCATACAGAATGTGGACATGGATCAAGAGGCAGTTATGTTAACAGAAAGCAGGGAAGGTGTGTGTCAAGGTTGTATTCCTCTTACTATACTTATTCAATCTGTATGCTGAGCAAATAATCAGAGAAGCTGGATTATAAGAAGTATAATGTGCCATCAGGATTGGAAGTCTCATTAATAAGTTGAGGTATTCAGATAACACAATCTTGCTGCTGAAAATGAGAAAGATTTGAAAGATTGAAGCCTTCAGTATAGTTTATAACTCAATATGAAGGTAAAAATCCTCACAATTGACCAATAGGTATCATCATGATAAATGGAGAAAACATTGAAGTTATCAAGGATTCATCTTGCTGGCATCCACAGTCAATGCTCATAGAAGCAGCCGTCAGCAGATCCAGTTATACACTGCACGAAGTAGAGTTGCTGTCCAAAGCCTCTTTTCAAGTGTTGAAAAGCACCAAGGTTACCGTGAGGACTAAAGTGCACACGACACAGTATTTGGTATTTAAATAGCCCCATATGTATGTGAAAGTTATAACCTGAATAAGGAAGACTGAAGAACCAATGCCTTTGAATTATGGTGCGGGAAAAGAATAATGAAAGTACCATGGGCTGCCAAAAGAACAAACAAATCTGTCTTGGAAGAGGTACAGTCAGAAATGCTCAGTAGAGGCCAGGATGGTGAGAATTGGTTTCATGTACTTTGGATATGTGGTCAAGAGACTGGTGCCTGAAAGAAAGAAAGGCCATGAAGGAGATGGACTTACACTATGGCTACAACAAAGCACAGGAACAATTGTGAGTATGGCACAGCACTGGGCAGTGTTTAATTCTGTTGTGTATAGAGTGGCTATGGGTTGGATCGGACTCAATGACTCCTAACAATAACTAGAAAGATTCTCAGACTCCAGAAATTACGAACAGTAAAATTAAGGCTTAACATTTATGGAACTGGTTTCTGAAACAGACTATCTGAATGTAAAGGTAGAGAACTAGTCACTTAGTAGCCCGCAAAATGCCAGCTACAATTAAGACAGTGGGAGCCCTTAGAAAGATGGAGCATGGAAAAAGGAAACATGAGGCAGGCTGAAGGAACTACTGCTAGCCAAATTCCACATACTTTGAGCACACAAATATAGTAAGGAATTATAAACAATTGAATAAATTAAGGATCCAAGAGTTTACACTAATATCACAAAAGGGAAGAGAAATGTATAAATGTAGAGGAAATGATTGAATTTAATAATCATGTTAGTACATTATGCAATGAGTTACTAACTAACTACAAGAACAGTGGTTCGAACACACCAGCCACTCCACAGAAGTATGAGGCTACTTCTGTAAAGATTTTTAAATTTTCAGATAGCACATCATTAGGCAAATATCACTAATGGACATCTCCAAAAACTAGTGGATGAAAGTTGAGGAGTATGAGGATATTAAATTCTCTCTACAAGGAACTTAGTGATCACAAAGAATAAGATAGTTTCTTTAAAGAGCAGACATCAGATTAATCCAACAGAACAAAAGTTATCAGTAGCAATGAGACTAACAGTGTAGGCCTTTTACTAAGATGCAGTAAGACCAAGTCAGCATCACTTCCGTGAGAGTAAAATCTGAGTCTGACTACCGGTGGAAAATCCAAAACTATTTTATATAAAGTGGCAGTGCCATAAAATATAAAGACTCAAAACATTCAGGATTAAAGGAGTTTAAAAAGACATTTTTCTCCTGGAAACTGACATGGTAGCAATGCAATTCATGATACTAAATTTTATTTTGCAATAAAGAACATTATTAGAGTTATCAGAAAATTCTCACTAATTGCAATAGGTGAGATAAAAACTTTGTATCCTGATTAATTTTCTGATTTTGATAAGTCCATATTGGCTCCTTATGCAAATTTGTTTCTACAAGTTAGCAACTTTTTTCTAAATAGTTTAAGGGAGGAAAAGGTCACTAGCACACAGAAAAACAAATTAATATAGTAAAATGTTAACAAAAGGTGACCTTGGGATTTTAGTATTATACTCGAAACTTTTCTGTACGTTGAAAATTATGCAAATAACACGCCCTCTCTGCTGAAGATTACTAAGAGTCAAAATACCCAAGACCAAAAACTGTTACTGTTTTTAAGTTTACACAAAAAAATTCTTGTTTAATATGATTTAAATGGCCCATGGTACTTTCTCAATAAAAATTTCTCATTTCTCAAAAATGTCTGACCTTTCTTCTGATCACTAATCACTGTTGACTAATCTAAATAACAGTCCCGTACCAACTTACCTCCAAATAAGAAACTGTAGTACTACATACTTTATCTTCCTTAATCTCATCCATGGACTTGTAAAGGTCTAACATTGTTAGATACATCACTCCAGGTTCAGCAGCTGATCCAAGCATTGTGTGGGTCTTCCCAGCTCCAGTAGCACCATAAGCAAGCACTAAGTTTTTATAAAAAGTGATCAAAACTCTTTGGTATGGCATATAGGATCACAAATCTACAATACAGTGGACAGTTCCCCCTGTAAACTTTCTATAATAACCTTAAACAAACTTTGTTTTATCCTGAATCACTGCGATTTTGGAACATATCTGCGTACCCCCTATATTCTCCGCCCTGACTAATGATACTACCAGTCCCCACTCCTCACAGGCAAGAACACGAGAAAAACAATTTCGGCTGCTCCCTCACTTGCATTAATCTTACAGATTTTATCATTCTTTTCCTACTTTAAGCTTAATCTTCTCTAGTTCAAAACATGACATCTCTAGCTCAAAATATATGAAGAAATCTGAGTATGGGTTGTAGGAAAAGCTCCAATTCTTTACTTCGTAATATTAAGGGTTTCTAGTTATCGTTCCAGCATCTTTCCTTGTGATCTAAACACACTAAGTTAAAGTTCTTCCACTATACTGTTGTTTTCCTACTTCACTGCCTTTGTCCTGAAGAGCTCCTCTGTGTAAAACAGCTAACAAACTTCCACTTCTTCCTAAATACTCAGAAGAAATGCTACTTTTACATGGGTTCCCTGACTATCTAAGTATAAACTTATACTTTTGACCCCTATCTATCTATCTACTACACTTCCCTCTAGCACAGCATGTGCTATGTACAACTGTAAGGACCAATTTAAGCACAGAGAAGTACATCGCAAATCACCTGACAGAGTGGGAACTCTTTACAACCACTTGAAACAAACACCTAACAGTTAAGGCATAAGTTCTCATCCTATTATTTTACTCATAATATTATCATACTCGCTGACAATGTTTTAACATGAATTCAATTGAGGCATATTTTGCTTTGTTCTTTTTCCCCCCTCTGTCTCAAGAATCAGTACACAAAGAAGTCTTCATACAGGTGGCTAAGAACATCAAGTAAAGCCAAGGAGAAACCAAAGATTCTGTATAAGTCTCGTCGATGTTTTTTGTTTTGCAATAAAAAAAAAAATTAAGTATCTCTAGAGATGATGTGACGTTTCATGAGACAGAAAGATATTTAAAAAATAAGAACCACTGTAGTAGACCAATTGTACTCTTGCTTGACCAAGAGGTTTTCTGTAATACTGTGTGAATCAAAGAAAGATAGTGAAATTGGTCATTTGGGGGCTTAAAAAAATGTGATAGTGACAAAAATACTTCAAAATATATTATAAAAATAAAATAATGGGGCTAAATATTGTGTAAGCATTAGCTTATCATTTTGAATATCTCCTTCTAGGCATGCAACATAGCCTTTTAAGTACACAAATCATCTTGAGTCTCTCCAAACCACCAGAGATGTTTCTTGGGCTGATGATAAGCTAAAACAGCGTAAGCTCACCAGTGAATGCGGGCTTTTAACATTTTTATTAGAAGAATGGTGTTGTAAAACGGCAAGTACTCAAAAATGTCTGACCATTGCTCTATGATGAAGATTTAAAAAGTAGCGGAAATTTGTGAATAAAACTTGTGGGATATTTGTTAATTGCCAAATTCATGTGGTTTAGGGACAGGAAATATAGGGAATGAGAAATATAGTGAAAAACTGTGGGAATTTATTTGTAAATTATAAATCTTAGTAATATATTAATTGATAAGAGCCACCAAGAACATGAAAGAAAGTTTCACATGGCTTGTGAATCAGATAGAATGGCTACAATTAAAAGAATATTACATTTAATTTACAATTATGGTTTATTAGGGAATTTTTAGAATATAAACACCTTTAAATGAGTTAGTTTATAGGAGAGGACTTAAATCTAATAGGAAAAACTAAGTGCCAGACTGAAACACTACCTGTGCAATTATATCCATTCAAAAAACTACGTATAATTGGTTTAGTAGTATGTTCAAAAACTTCCAACTGAGTTGAAGTTTCATCAAATATAGCATCAAATACAAATTTAAGATCCTTATTTTGTCTCTTTGTAATATCTCGATTTAGCACATTCTTTCCATGTAAAAAGCCAACTTCTTGTTTGGGATCAAAAACTAGGATATGCTTATCCACAACATGAACCACTTTATGGAATCCAGCTGTCTTTTCTTTAGTGTTTTCAGGACGAACACGAACTACTACTTTCATGCGGTGACACAGGTCTTCCTCAGTGGCAGACATTGTTGATTATCTTTGTGCCTTTAAATTGCCTGAGTATGTGTCTGAAATTAAAAGGGAAAATCAGAGATTTAGTATTAATATTATCCGTAGCAAATATAATCTGAATTTTTAAAAGTGTGAATTGTTATTATGCATTACATTATGTCCCCTCTCACAAAAATATACTTTAAAACCCTTACTCCTGTATACCTGTAAATATGACCCTGTCTGGAAAAAGATTTTTTTTTTTACATGCTAATGAGATACCAGGGTAGGGCGGTATCATTTTTAAGGTATAAAAGAAAGTGTTAACATAAGACACACACAGTAGGGAGATGCCATCTACAGACAGACACATCTATAAGTCCAGAATTCCAAGAATTGCTGGCTACGAAAGGGTAGAACAGACAAAAGAACCATCCGCCATAGCCACGTTCTGAATTCTGACTACAAGTCCGTGGACTGCGAGGAAATAAATTTCTGTTCTGTTTAGCCACCCACTTGAAGTACTGGTATATTTTTGTTCCTTAAGTACTGGATAATTAATATAGTTCTGTTCTATTCACCTGGTTAATGTTACAGGAACTAAAACTAACAGGCAAACAAAAATCCCTGGGTAAATCTCCTAACCTAAAACATTAATCAAAGTCTTAGTATCAGCTTAAAATCTAAAACTTTATCTAAATTATATATAATCACAAATATGCTATATAAAAACCCAGCTTTGATTTCTTTCCACATGGCCTCCAGCACTATTTTAGCCAGTCATGGGAAGGGACAGGAAAGGATCTCTCAGAATCCTATCAAGGTAATGAAAGGGCACCTTTGCTTGGAACCTATTTTCAGTAAAAGTGATCTAGGCTGCACGCCTCTTGGCAGTAGACAGTGATACATCCAAGTTGGTCTTTACCTGTATCTCAGAGGGTTAAAAATAGGTCCAAATAGTTAGCCCAGGTGTGAAGGTGATCTACTCACATTCACTGAGTCAATTCTGACTTCTGGCGAGCCTACAGGACAGGGTAGAACTGCCTCTTCGGGTTACGAGACTCTTAACTCTTTATGGGAGTCGAAAGTCTCATCTTTTTCCTGCTGAAGGTGACAGACACAGTATGGTATACACCCAATTGTATATTCAGGGGCAGAGGGCTCCTAGTAACTGCTCTTTAATGACAAGTATTTGAAAGAAATATCCAAGATTGCAGTGGGGAAAAAAAGGGTCTGGTTGTGCTAAATGAAGACAGTATTTAATGCTACCATCACTTCATCAACGATCATTAGTTTGGGAACCTTGACTCACCAGAAAATAGTCCAGAATCTGAAGATTAAAAAAAAAAAAAAAACTTTCAGTATTCATTCATTCATTTATTAATACATTGTCTACCAGACATTTTTTAGGCTCAATTGGATACATCAATAAATAGACGGAAAATAAATAAACAAAACCCACAAAGAAACTCCTCTCACCCTTAAAAAACTGACATTAAGGACCTAGAGACTAGCTGAATGAAAAAATAACCCAAATCAAATGGGTCAAAATTATATACATACTCCACTACAATGTCTGTTGATTCAATTCTGACTCTTGGCACCCAATGCTTGAAAACAGAATTGCACACCATAGGGTCTTCAGTGGTTGTGCTCTAATAAGAGCACATCTTATCATGCCTAACTGTTGACATCGACTCAATGGCAGTGAGTTTTAGAACTCTTCTGTCGCACTGCTGGGTAGTCCCAAATTGCCAAATTTTTGTTAATAGTCAAACAGATCTTTGCAATACCCAGAGACAGGCTGGCCAGCCATCTCTCCGCCCATCCATTATCTATCTATGAATGACATAATAAGTGCTAGTGTAAGAAATACACTAGATGAAGGGTAATTATGAGTGAGCGGTGACTTGACAGTTGTAATAATGGTGAGCTGGAAGTTAAAAGCAAAGACTTGAAGGAGGTGAGACAGACATTGGAGAAAACAATTTCCAATAAATGATTAGTATAAAGCCTTTTTAAGGAACTTGGTGTTAGTTGCACTGGATTAAGCAAAGGGGATAGTAGTACATCGGTTAAGACATATAGGATATGAAAATAACTATCTTTTATGCTGAATAAAATACATACCACTGAGGGTTTGGTCTGTGGAATGACAATCTGATTTAATTTGCAATGTTGTGTAGATAACATACTAATGTAATACAGATAAGAGATGTTGTTTTATCACTCAGACCAGGATGGTGGCAGTAGAGATGGGAAGAAGTGGTCAAATACAGTAGGTAGTCTGAAGGTAAAGCCAATAGATTGTCTCGAAAGATAGATGTAGGATGAGAAAGAAAAGATCAAGAATAAAGCGCCCTCTACCCTCCACCAAAAAAAAAAAAGGAAGAAAGAAAGAAAGAAAAAGAATAAAGCCACAGTATTTGGCAGATTGGAAGTGTCATCAATTGAAAAGGAAAAAACTATGCTGTAAGGCAAATTTGGGGGATGGGAGTAGGATCAACTTAGTTTTCAACTTTGTAAGCCTATCTAAGACACCTTAGTGGGTGTGAAGGAAGCTGAAATGTCAAGCCAGGAAAGTGAAAGCTGTCTACATAATCTTGATGGAATTATAAACTGTTAAGCTTTCATCTTAAACGCTTCAAACTTCTTGAAGATTTTGGAAACACTTATACCAAGGGTTCGAGAGGGTTAAATGATGCTAATATTAAGTATTTAAGAAAATTAACCATGGGCTTTAGCAGAACAGAGGCTGAAGAGAAGAGCAATTTGGGGTGAAAGGTGGAGAAAAAGGCTGAGGTGAGAAGAGAGTGAATATAGTTAATTGTTTTATCAAGTACAGCTGCAAAAGAGAACAGATAAGTGGTGTGGTGAGGGGACAAGAAGGAACAACATATTTAATTTTTTTTCTTTAAACGGGAGAAATACCAAGGTTGCCAAAGCTAAAATATCAAATACTTTTAGACAGAATTCAAGGAAGTCCAACACAGTCTAACAGCAGCAGACACTGGACACAGCTCTGCCTTTTTAGGGCTCTGTCCTTCCCCAAAAATAGAATGCTGAAGAGGAAGGGATGGTCATTTGGATTCTAACAGCTAAGTCCCAGGTGAATTATTTCTCTGTTCTTTCTTCATCCTTGAGATTCTGTCCAGCCAAGTGCCACAAAGCACCTATATCTCAGTCCTATGACCTTGGACAAGTTACTTAACCTCCCTGAATCTCAGATTTCTCATCTGTATGAAAGAGACAATACCTCATAAGATTGTTGTGAAGGCTAAAAGAGATAACAAATATTAAATGTCTGGCAAAGACATATTCTAGAGATGTCATTTCTTTTACCTAGTTGGCCCTATTACTCAAAGTGACTAGGTCCATCTTTTTACTGTTTCTTAATGGGCATTCTGGGTGGAGAGTTCTTCCTTGTTTGCAATTGCCCCACATACTAGAGGATGTTTTACCATTCCTGATCTTTGCCTATTAAAGGCTACTAATGTTCTACATACCTGGGGATAAGGAAAACGCTCTTAAATCCATGACAACACTTCTAAAACTCCAGCATTTTGAAGAGTTTTAGAAATACCTAATGACTTTGACCTTAACAGATGCACTTTATTTAGCCACAAAATATACACAAATAAGATGGTTAAAAATTAATACGTAAAACACCATGTGACTATTTAGAAATTTTACAAGGTAAGAACATGTATCTTGCTAATTAGGTAGATAGTAATTATTAGGTATTAAAACCAAAACTCATTGCTATCCAGTCCATCCCGACTCATAGCAACACTGAGGGACAGAGAACAACAGTCCTTGTGCTTTTTCAAGAGTAAATCATTTTTTTACTGGCTTAGGGCAGAAATTTATTGTCTCAATTGTGGAAGCTAGAATCTCAAATCATTATGTCCCAAGAGTAAATCTCTATGGGAGTAGAAAGACTCTTCTTTCTCCTGTACAGTGGCTGGTGGTTTCGAAACACCGACCTTGTAGTTAGCATTCCCTGGCACAACCCACTATACCACCAGGGCTCTTTCATTATATATTAAAGACAGATTGAAAACCAAAAAGCAACAAAAATTCACCGTCATCAAGTGGATCCTGACTCATAGAGACCCTATTGGATAGGATACTCATCCTCTGGGTTCTTAAGGTTGTAAATCTTTACAGGAACAAAAAGCCTCATCATCTTTCTCCCATGGAGTGGCTGGTGGTTTCAAATTGCTTACCCTTGTGGGTTATGAAAAGTTCAACTGATAACGCAGATGACAGATAACATAGGTTAAAACCTCAGCTCTAACACTTAGGTGTGATAATAAGCAAACAACCTAATCTCTTTGGTGCTCAGTATACACATCTGTAAAAAATAAACAAAACAAAATTCACTGCCTTCAAGTGGGTATGGACTCATAGAGGCCCTATAGGGCAGGGTAGCACTGACCTGTGGGTTTCTGAGACTGTAACTCTTTACAGCAGTAGATATCCCTGTCTTTCTGTCTCTGAATAAGTCACTTGGAACAAATTCCTGGCTATGTTTAACATGGATTAAAAAAAAATCTATATATAGTTAGCAGCACAATATCTGTTGACTCACAAATTCTTTTCCGAAGACATTATAGGCCTGAGTCAATTTTGTCTTATAGAGTCAAAGAGAAAACTGGTAGGCTATTCATCCTAGTGAAACAGTATTTGTCCAGTTCTGAATGCATACAGTATAAAAGAAAGATTAATGAAGAGAGCTCCAGTTGCTAATTCATAAAATAAAATGGTTGGAATATGATATCTAAGGTTCTTTTCAAGGTCTGAAATTTGATGACTATTACATATATATATATAACTGTCTCATAGAGAACTTGGCATATATTAATCATTTAATCAAATATTTGATTGATGACTGAACAGTTAATAAACTATAAAAACTAGACACAATAATTAAAGAGTGTAGTTTACCCATTAAAGCAGAGGTAAATAGACAATAGAATCCGCTAAGAGAAACAACATATTGCAGTAGAATACAATGACTGGCAGTTAACAATGAAGGTCCCAAGGCATCAAAAAAGGTTAAACAATATGTCCCAATTCTTGGTTAGGAAATTAGTAAACCGGGAAAATCCTTCTATATTTAATTAATGACGGTGATTAAAATACTATTTCACATTAGAGTTATATTCAGTTTTTTGGGAAATTCACTTATGTAGAACAGATAATTTTTCTGCAATGTTTAATGAAGAGTTAAATGTAATTTTCAACTATTACCAACGAACATAAACCAAGCTAAATGGGCAAGTCCTTAATTTATACCATACCTGGCCACTATTTCCCTTAGATAAAAATATAAGCTAATTAAGTTAAAGATTAATCAATTATATGTCTGCATAATAATATATTTTTATTTAATTGATTTTATGTACTGCTACCTTTTTCAAAAGCAATTAGCTCATGCTATGTCAACACTAAACTAATGATTTAACAGTACATGGATAAAATACAAGTTCCTTACTATGGCCTATAAATTCCACATCATCTGGCCCATTTACTTCTCTGACTCCTAATGTTCTGTCCCTGGATAGTCTACATCAGTCACAACTATTCCTTTTGCCTGGAAAGCTCTCACCTTGTATGCCTACATGCAAGTCTTATTTCTTTATTAGTCAGTTCTTGTTCAAATGTAACCAAACTGAGATGTTCTCTCAAAAACTGCATCCAACCCCCAATCTTTTACCTGTTTATTTTTGTGGCAACTAATGAGATGATACACATCATTTGGTTATATATTTGTTTCATTCCTAGAATGTACCTTGAAAGGATCGATTTCATCTGTACTCCTAGAGCAATGTTTGGCAAATACTAAGGGTTTATTTGAATAAATGAAAGAACTGAAAAAGATTTTCATGAAACATTTGGAAAAAAAACAAAAAGCCTTGAGCTCACATAGTATGCTACTATTTGTATCTTTGTAGTTACATATACAAGGGGGGAGTGTCTTCAAAAAGTTTGAGACAAACAGAATTATATGTTAATGACATTTTCTTATAAACTTTTTTCAGTTATTGAATATTTATGTATGCGTGGATTCTTTTCTCTAAGTGTGCATGAAACTGGTTAACACTTGACCTCATGAAAGTGAAATTTGGAGGTCTGGATAAAATGGAGAATTATTTTCTATTTTACACCCTTTTGAACTAGTATTTGTACTAAAACCATAAGCTACTATTAAAATTATCTTAATCACAAGCTTTCACTTAAATTTTTAATAACTCAAGAAACATTTTATATTAAGCTCCCATTCTATAAATAGAATTGTGATAAAAATTCATGGACATTTACTATCCATCTGATAGACATTAGTTGAAAATCTACTTGAAGGCACTTAACAACCAAACCAAATCCATTGCCATTGATTGGGTTGGTAGACTCACAGTGATCTTATAGGACAGAGTACAACTGCTCCACAGGTTTCCAAGGCTGTCGTCTGTAGGAAGCAAACGGCCACATCCTTCTTCAGTAGAGTGACTGGTGGGTTCAAACCACTAACCTGCAGGTTGATAACCAAGTCTTGTGCCACCAGGATCCTTAATAACAAATAATCTTCATAAAAATTGTAGATGAAAAAAATTGTATATGTAGACACTGCTATCATACTTGTTTTGGTTACCTGGCCAAAGTTAACTACTGAAACAGATGATACGAGATTTGAACTCATGCTGAAAGTTCTTTCATTTAATCATTACTATATCAGGAGCCCTAATGATGTAGTTGGTTATGTGTTGGGTTGCTAATTGCAAGATTAGCAGTTTGAAAACAGTAGCCACTTCATGGAAGATGAGACTTTCTGCTCTTGTAAACAGTCTAGAAAACCCACGAGGGCAGATTTACTCTGTCCTATAAAGTCACCATGTGCTGGCATGAACTCATGACAGTCAGAGTGAGGGGCCCTATATGTTACTCTCAGATATTTTCTCACAGAAAAAGTTAAAAACAAATATTTACTTTCTTTTAATAGAAATCTCTCAGCTTAGTTCAGGAGCTCACTAAGTAACGGCAGAATTAAATAGAAAATTTATGATTTCTATGTGGTTGCCATTTTTTGGTGTATATATTATTAGGGAACTCTTGGATTAGGTCAATATGGTGATATCTAGTAAAATGAATAACAATGAATAAAATATGTGTACATTCTCTGTGTCACACAAGCTACACATTTGGCATACATCTCATTTAATCCTTAATGAAATCAGGTAGATCCTATCAGTGACTACATTTTATATAACCAGAGACATAGCTCTAGAAAGGATAAGTAATTCTTTTGAGCTGAAATAGCTAGAAAGTGGGGAGCCATTCTTCAACAATCAGGCTCTACTGGAATCAGAAGAGAGTAGCATAGGGCTTACTCATTGGACTATGATCTGAAAGGCCCGCCATTGGAAGCCATGAGCTTATCTGCAGGAGAAAGACCAGGCTTTCTACTCCCATAAACCATTATAGTACTGGAAACTCATGGGGCAGGTTTGCCTTGTCCTCTAGGGTCGTTAAGAGTCAGCATTGAACCTCTGGCAGAGTTTGGTTTGGCGGCTTCCAAACAAAAGTATAGATATACTGAACAAATGATCCTGAATGGGGAGATAGTTATTATTTGAATTTTACTCAAAGTCAGGTTTGAGTTTATAGTAAAGAAATAGTTTATAGTTCATGTTTTTTGTGGGGCTTGGACTCTACCTTTGACCATTGTCAATTATAGTCTATCCAACTTAAAATTCCTCATACCTTGTTGAAGTAGGTATAATCATACACTGTCAAGAAAGTTTCACAGGGCAGCGATGACATCCAAACTTTTTGATTCCAAGATCAATTATTTTCCCTCAATATCATACATGCCTTCAAATGTGGCTTAGATGGATTATTAATATTGCAGTCTTTTAAGATATTTTAGAAACAACATAATATAAGCTCTTTCTATAGGAATAGGCTACGGATTGTGTATATCTTTCCGAGAATGCAGCTACAAAATGTGTGAAGGGTTAAAAAACACAGGATCAGCTTATGAATTCAGAAAGAAGTTGTACATGGTCTGTACATAGGACACAGCTTCAGAGTAAGTCAGAGTACTTAAACTCAGTATCATCTTTACTGTCCTTTTTGTAAGATGTCAGAGTATCTGTGTGATATAGGCATTACTTGCAGCTCTGCACCCAACATGAGTAAAATTAATATAGCGGGTAAGAAATCAAACTGTGGATAGTGCTCTAACTTTTCTGTTAGAATGATCACTTCCATGATTTACAAGCTTATCAAGGAAGGCAGAAAAGCTCCAATGGCAAGAAGGGTGACATTGACAGCTGGACAGTTTCTTCCCCTTAAGTTTTCATACAGTTGGTAGCATAAAAAAATCACCTTTTTGTGTACTTTAATTGATTTGAAATATGTCTGTAATAAGATGCATTTTTAAATGAAAACCTTAAATACTTGTAAATGTCTGCTCAGTAATTTAAAAGGAAATTTCTAATCCTATTGTTAAAAGCAGTTAATGTTTATTTACTGAGATAGTTCATATATATATATATATATATAAAATAACAAACACCACTTACTCTCTGGACGGTATATTTTTTGGAGTCAAGGTGCAAAAGTCTCTTCCAAAATCTAAGATGTGGTGTTAAATATGATGGAATAACACTAACATGGTAAAACCTATAGAATGCCTACACATTCTACCACTGTGTTCCATAGCTAATAGCCAATACACATATTATACAGCAAATGTAATACATTAAATTCTGACCAAATCATCTCTCTTCGTATATAGTACACCAAAGTATTGCTGACCTCTCTGCTACTGAGGTCTAGTGAGCTCCTAAGTTTTGCACAAACTAAGAACAGATTGATTCTCAGTGCTTATTGTCTTTTTTCATTAAAAGAGAACTTTGCCAACTAAGCACACCTCATCTGATCATAAACAATCTCTTTAGAAGTTAAGGAAGGTTTTATGCTGATGCTGCAAAACAGAAAAAGGGGATTAGGGGGGCTCAACTGACTTGTGCCAGACTCACAACAGAACCCCATAGGGCAAAATTGGGTGTCTTGGTGTACCGATACTACTTTGATGAGTATGCAGTTACACTTACATCTGCGTCTGAAACAGACGCTCCAAAGCCGAGTCTGGAGAGAACTACACACTGCCAGGGAGGGGGCAGACAGGCTGCTCTGCCAGTCTGGGAAGGCGACCAGGTGCCCTTTAAAATTTCCAATTTCCTCTCAGCTGAGCAGTCAAGGGTTCGCCAAAAAGCCACGCTGGACTCGAGCTGGATCTCCGGCTCTTTCTTCATTTACTTTTTCCCCGGGCCGCTTACAACCCCGCATCCCGCTATGGCGTTTGTCAACAAGTTACCCCTTGGATCGACCCGTACACCTAAGAGCCCGGGCCTTCTGCTTTCCTCAAATCCTCAGAAGCCGCATCCCAGCGAATAAAGCTTCACTTCACGTGACCCTCACTCACCTCAGGCCCCACAGAGGCCACCGAGACTACTTCACTTCCAGACCGGACTCCAAGCACATCAAAACCAGCCACAAGATTCAAACCCAAGCCAGCCGCCTCAGCGCCTCATTTTATTGGCTGCCGCCAGCGTGACGTCACCACGCCAGACGCTGCCTCAGCGCGTGGCTGTTTGGCGCCAGGAGATTCAGTCGCGGAACACAAGGAAGCCTCCTGGCCCTGCGTTGCCCTGGCAACGCGCGCGTTCGTTTCCGGAGGCGGTGGCCTAGGTGGGCGGGGCTAGGCTGGCTTTGCAATTTGGAGGTTGCATTTGTGATGTGAGGTCTGCAGACCTGGGGACCCAAAGCTAGAGCTGTGGGTTTAGGTGGGGAGTGAGAATGATGAGGCTGGTAGTTGGCTTATCCCCTCGGTAAGGGGTAAAGGCAGACCCTGTTGAGTATGTAGTACTGGGTACTGGGTGTGAGATTTTTTCGTTTTTCCCTGAGTGGTGAGGCCCACTGATCCCATCTTCTGGAAAGTGTAGCACCCTATTTCTTGCAGCTATGTAGAATTGAGGTCTTTTCACTTTAATTGAATTTGAGCCCCTGATTTCCTTTCTCAGGACTCGCAGGCTGACTTCCTTTAGTACTGACTGTGATTCTGATGTTTGGCTGTTTTACATTCTTTTTTTTTTTATGAGCATATTTTGGTTTATTTTCATATTAAATCCAATAGCACAGTTATCACATTCTTATCAAATAGCTTGAATAATGGCCTATAATTAGTTGCTTCTTGCCAAAAAAAACCAATTAAGACAAAACCATTGCCATAGGGTTCATTCAAAGTCATAGTAATCTTATGTGGCTTTTCTCAGCCTATAAATCTTTTTTTTTTAGTAATCATTTTATTGGGGGTTCTTACAGCTCTTATCACAATCCATCCCCTCATGGACCCTTGATCATTTATCAATTTTTTTTTTTGTCTCCCTTAATCCACTTTTCTGTTGTTCCTCCCTGGGAGGGAGTTATATATAGATCATTGTACTCAGTTCCCCGGCACTCCCCCCACCTTTCCCTTACCCTTCTGGTATGGCTATTCTCATTATTGGTCCTGAGAGGTTTATCTGCCCTGGATTCCCTGTGTTGTGAGCTCTTAACTGTACCAGTGTACATGCTCTGGTCTAGCTGGATTTGTAAGGTCGAATTGGGGTGATGATAGTGGGGGGAGGAAGCATTAAAGAACTAGAGGAAAGTTGTACGTTTCATGGGTGCTATCCTGCACCCTGACTGGCTTGTTTCTTCCTGTGGCCTCTGTCAGTGGATGTCCAGTTGTCTACAGATGACAATTGTTTGATTGTCTACAGATGACAATGAGCACCCTCCGCGCATTTACCTCCAGATGACTTTTTGTTTTGGGTCTTTGCTGCCTTATACCTGATCCCATTGACACCTCATGATCACACAGTCTGGTGTTATTCCATGTGGGGTTTGTTTCTTCTCCGCTAGATGGTTCCTGTTTATCTTTAAGCCTTTAAGACCCCAGATGCTATATCTATTAATAGCTGGACACCATCGGCTTTCTTCACCACATTTGCTTATGCACACATTTTGTCTTTATTGATCGTGTTGGGAAGGTGAGCATCAGAAAATTCCAGGTTATTAGAACCAAGTGTTCCTGCATTGAGGGTGTACTTGAGTAGAGAATTAATGCCTGTCTGCTCTTTTAAAACTTAACAAATAAATATGTGTACATAGATCTACTTCCCTATTGTTATATGTAAATATATTTATATATGTACATGCCTGTATTTAGACCTCTATAAATGTCCTTTGCCTCCTACTAATGATGACATTACAAAATAAATTCATTGAATGATATTAGTTTACTTCATTCCTGCATGAAGTGTCTTTTAAAATCCCAGTTCAGAATGTACAGTTTAAAAAAGAAAAATACTTGTAGTAAAATGGGAAATATCTTCACCTTGTTAAGATGACTCATTTTTGTCTGGGTATTTTTAATAGTATGTTATGAAAAATTATTTTTCTTATTTATATGACTGTTAATAGTATTTATTAATAATTACTATTAATTACCCATTTATCAATTCTGCAACTATGCATTGAGCCTATTATTTATATGGTAAGGCACTTCTGTCAATATTAAGGACCATTAGAAAACAATTAAGATTTTTTTAATTTATGTTCTAGTAATGGATTATCACTACATAAATAGGATGTTAAAACATTCATGAATACTATTAGAAATAAAATAATGAAAATCCCTAATATTAATGACATTTTTTTCTACTAAATGTTAGTATTGTATATGATGTGTACTATATGACTGTACACTGGATAAAGCATCACTAAAGTTACTGCTCATGTGTCATTATTCTTTGGTAGTACAAGACGCATTTTCACTAATCTTAGCTATTTGTGCAGTTTTGAGTTTGATAATAAAACTGAGAAGCCTTTTTATCTCAATGTGCCTGCACTGTACTTCTGTTATTCTCCACGTTCTAGGCATTTTGTTAATTACATGATATCATGTAATCTGCAAAACAGCCCTTGAGATGTGGGAGCTGCTGTCTTAATTTCTCTGAGGAAGTGTTGAAGTTCTTGGGAAATCCTTAAAGAAAAATAATTCTGTTGAGTTGTATAAATGGGCCCTTTCAGAATTGAATCATTTGTCTTTGACGTATTTTACATTGAGTGCCATTAAAATAGTATCAACCCAGTGTGAGCATTTATAAAATTACACTCATCTTTGGTGAATAAGTAAATAGAAGTGTTTTAAATGTTGTAATTTTGGATGCCCACATTTTGTGATAAGGTCTGCTAATCTCACAGATGATGTTTTCACACCTACACCAAGTACTTGTTATACATTTTTAAAAATCATTTTATTAGGGGCGCATATGACTCTTATCACAATCCATACATACATCAATTGTGTAAAGCACATTTGTACATTCATTGCCCTTGTCATTCTCAAAACATTTGCTCTCCACTTAAGCCCCTGCATCAGGTCCTAATTTTTTCCCCTCCCTTCCCGCTCCCCAGTCCCTCATGAGCCTTGTAATATTGGATGCCCACATTTCGTGATAGGGTCTGCTAATCTCACAGATTTTTCACACCTACACCAAGTACTTGTTATACTTTTAACTTTAAATTGTGCTACAACCTCCATTGAACAATGTTCAGATGACAAGGACTGCCCTTTTAAGAAACTGTACGCATATTTAAAGCAGATTAAAAGCAAATTGTAATTTGAAATTGCATTCAACTCTGTTACTCGTCTGCTGACTTCTTTCTAGTTTGACAAGACATGAAAATAGGAGAATGGCAAATATTTTGTAATGAAACAAGGAGGAGGAAACCCAAAACATTTGAAACAGTTAAGGAAACAGAAATGGCCCTATTTTCTAAGAAATGAAATCGTTCAATCTTAAAATTAAGTTCTTAGGAAATGGTCAAAAGTAGAAGTCAAGATACACATTGATGGAAAGTCTGCCTTCAATCCGACATGAAAACAAAAGACAACCGAAAACGTAGGTGAATTTGCACAGGACAACGGCTCGGTCTGATTGATTGCTCCAGACGTCCCTTTGGAGCGTGCATGTCCTGCAGACCCCGGGCCGGGCGGAGCCGGAATCGAAGGTGGCTGGTCTCGCGGCCCCGCCGGACGCGCCCGCCGGTCCGTCCCCGCGCCTGTCCCCCAGGCGGGCCCTGCTCCGGCAAGCGCGGCTCTTGGACTCGCTGGGGATCGTCGCGGACCCCGCTAGAGGCCAGCTCAGGTGAGCCGCAGGTGGCCAAGTCCCACGCTGTTTGAGGAACCCCTAGCGGCCCCGGTTTCTCGCAGGCAGAGGGAGCGAGCGCCCGCGCTCGCACGGCCTCCCCTCGACAGCCTTGCATTCCGGCTGGAAGTTTGCACACGGCATTTCCTGTGCGAGCGGCCCGAGTGCGCGTCTCCACTCCTCAGCACGCGCTTTCACTTTTTCTGCTTCCCTGTTCCACTCGTCCTGTCGTGTTTTTGACTGCAGGAATGGAGTTTTTAAACAGGGATTTATTTATTTATTTATTTGTTTGTTTGTTTTGATAGGGAAACTTAAAACAGCACATGGTCATTGTTAGCCTTAGATGTCGCCCGCTAAGGCTCAACTCGCCTCTGTGGGATCACAGTTCAATGAGTAAGCAAGCCCATCCTCTGATCTAGCTTAAATCGAATTTTGCACTTGGAGGGAAAAGTTCAATGACTAGCCCACGGCACCACAGCCCTCTACTAGAATTTCTGACTCCCTGCAATTTTCCTGTTTTCAAAAGTGATGAAATAATCCTAGATCATTGAAGGTGTCTTGTTCTTTGCTAATTGCAGCCAGACTGTGGGTTGTTTGATGGGAACTTTGGCTGCAGACAGGAGGGAAAGTCTACATGTCAAGCTTGTTTCCTTCCATTGTTAGGGAAATATTTCAGGAAAAAAAAAGCTAGAGAAGAAACATTATGTATGGACCTTTCCTCATGTTGACTCAAGTTATCGACTGTTTATTTAATAATTAGGCTATTTATGTTGAACATAGTTGTCTAGAAATTGACTGCAGTAGAAAAGAAAATGCAGGGGATCGCAGTATTTGTTCTATCTACTTTTCTACTTGTGTTTTTCTTTCTGGCTTTAATGTCTGTCTTGGAATTGATGCACATCTTAAAGAAATTATCAAAATCCGGATTTATGGAGCAAAGTGTTTCGACATTCTTTAATTCCACAAATACATTGTGTTTCCTCAAAGTTGGATCTTGCGCAGTATACAGTTATTTTCAAGTGTAGCAGAACCAAGCAATAAGCTATTGACTTTTCAAGAAACCAACAATTGGAATCCAATGCAGGAGATACTGCAAACACCTAAAGTAATTAAAGTGCAATTAAATCCATGTCTTAAATAGGCACAGTGGACCATGGAGATTAAGGTAACATGGAGATTAGAATTTGAGACTCTGACAGATTACTTAACCTCTCTATTTTCCTTATCTTCAAAATTTGAACAATAATCAAAGTATCTGCTTTCTAAAGTGTAGCAAGAATGGTATGCATTAGTACATACAGTGTGCTTAGAATAGTAAGGTATAGTAAAGTGCACAATGTATATTAGACATTATTTAGAAAGTATTAGGAACACTAAATTAGAGAGTTGTTGAGTATCTTTTATATAAGATCTCATGAAAATATGAGATATAAGGATTTAGGCTAATTTGTCATGCTGATCATATAAAACTTTACTGAAAACAATAATTTTCTGACTTTACTAAGTTGGTTGCCACATTTTTGTTGTCATATTTGTGATATAATTCTGTACATGTATGCCCTTGGTAAAGTTAACATTTTGTTCTTAAGACAATATTTGTTGGTATTATAGAATGTCAAACACTTCAAGATATCATTGGTTGATGTTCTATAGCATCAAAATTTTATTTTATGACAAAAAATATCCTATTGATATTTTAGTAATATTTACGTTTCTTTTGAACCAATCACAATGCTCTACATATAACCCCCTCCCAGAGGGGCTCCTAGCAAAACAGAAAAATGGGTGAAACGAGACAGTGGTCAGTGTAAAACATGAAAAAAAAAATTTATAAATTATCAAGGGTTCATGAGGGAGAGAGGGATAGTAGAGGGTGAGGGAGAGAGGGTAGTAGAGGGTGGGGGAAATGAGCTGATACCAAGGGCTCAAGTAGAAAGAAAATATTTTGAAAATGATGATGTACAAATGTGCTTGATACAATTGATGGATGCGTGGATTGTGATAAGAGCTGTAGGAGCCCCCAAAACAACGATTTAAAAATAAAAAAGAATATACTTTTTGTGAGGTCGGTAAATGGAATTTCCAGAAGTGAGGTTGATAAAATGTTTATTCTGTATAGTTTTGAATCCATTTATTTAATCATTTTCTTAGAAAATGCTTACTAAACATCTGCTGTGTTTTTGATGTTGAGGATATTGAAAAGTGGATTACACTCTTGAGTAACTGATAATTAGTGAAGATGAAATAAAAATATTAAGAGGGGTTTTACTCTAGTGTAAAGCCTGTTGCTCAAAAATAGTTCAGTAAGAAGTGAAATGTTTTCCAAAGGTCTTCTGTTAATATATTCTTATCAGTACATTTATTTTCTCTGCAATTTAAGGAGTTAGAGGTTGTATAAGAAAATGGAGCAAGTATGTGAAATCTAGGGAATGTACCAGCTATCTATTTACTTTGTTTTAGGGAGGGGGAGCAGAAATAAAAATAAAAGTGTGAAATACCAAGGAGAATTCAGTTGAGTGTTAATGAAACTTTAATTTAAATTAGTATGTACTTCACTATTGTAGACCATAGTGAGATTATCACATCAGAGAATATCCATGGGAAGTTTTATAAGAATTTCAGACTGATGGTCTCCTGTCTTTTTTAGATGTACTTATAACTTTTTTTTCTGAGGATATTTGCTTGTACAAAGTTAAGTTACTTAAGATGAGAATTAGCATCACAAAAAACCAAAACAAATAGAAGAACTTGAAAATAAAAGATCATCAGAACCTAAAGTAAGATAGTATTTATAATCCCTCTGTCATTCAAATAGTTTATATACCTACCACCCCAACCACATTAAAATGACAAAATCCACACTAAATATAAACAGTTCTGATATATTGAATAGGAGTCCTGCAGGGACAACAGTTAAATGCTTTGCTGCTAACTAAAAGGTCTGTAGTTCAATCCACCCATTGTCTTCACTACAGAAAGACCTGCCAATCTGCTCCTGTAAAGATTACAGCCTAGAAAATTCTATCAAGCAGTTCTACTTGTCACATGGGGACACTAAAAGTCAAAATTGGCTCCTAGCAACAACGAAAGCAATGCATTGAATCCATTGTTTAGACAATAAAAATTCAGGAAATATATTTTAGTCGAGAGTGATAAGCTAAAGAATTAGTTTTCAAATTTTAGATGGTTAAAACATTAGTAAGTGGAGTTTATCAAGCCACATGCAAAATTATATTTTCAGATTGTCTTTGAGGCTCTCTTAAATCACTTGCTTCATTTGCAAAGAGATTTCTTTTCACTTACTCAAGATGTTCAGATGAGTTCTTATAATCACATTTCTACTGTAGATTTTTAGTTACTTATTTTTTTCCCATTTCATAGATGTGTATTAATTTACTTTCCTCCTGGAATTAATCTATGCTTTTATAAAATCCTATCATCATACTTTTTTTTTTCCTTTTTAGATTTGTTGACCTTCAGAATGCTTCGACCCACATATTTTTGTAGACTCTACAAAGACTTTCTTTCATGCTCTTTGCAATCTGGCATGATTAAATTAGGGACCTGGCCCAAAAATATGCACCGTACAACTGAAAGATATAGTGAATGTGAAACAGAGGAGCAAACGTGCAAATATGGAGCTCAGCAGTTAAGCCAAAATCAAGATGAAGACTCTAAAGCTGTAGTTCAATTACATATTCCGGTAATGGTGAATGAAGTTGTTCGTTGTTTGGCACCACAAAAAGGGCAGGTAAGTTATTAGTTGCTTTTTTTAAAATTAAAAAATATTAAGCTATAACACATATACCATTATATTCATTGTATCCACAAAATTATCCAGCCATCCAGTCACCAATGCCATAACGTCAATTCCAACTGAAGCAACTCTAGATAAGGTTTGGAGGCTTTATCAATATTTGCAGAGAAGATGGCTTCATTTTTCTCCTATAAAGCAACTGGTGCATTTGAACCACCAAGCTTGCTGTTAGTACTCTAACAGGTAATGTACAGCACTATCAGGACTCCTTATGCAACCAACAGTGTTGTGGAAATCAGCAACATTTTCTTCACTCCCATAGAAATCCTTATGCCCATTAGCATTTTCTCGCCCTTTTTCCCACCCCGCATCTCGACTAGATGGATTAACAGTGTGGCTGCATCGATGGGCTCAGGCCTAGAACAACTGTGAGCATGCTGCAGGGCCATGCGGTGTTTCGTTCTGTTGAGCATAGCATTGCTGTGGGTCAGAGCCGACTCGATGGCACGTTAAAAATAACGGCAACACATAAAGTTACCACTTATTTATTTTTTTCTGTGGATGTACCTAATATGTACATTCAAGTACCTAATATGTACATTCAATATTAATAGAACTATTCAATATAAGGCCTTTCTACCTGTGTTAGACAGGGTTCTCTAGAGAAACAAAACCAGAATGCTAATAATTTTATGTATATTTATACAGATAGATAGATATATAACATAAGAAATTAACAGGTAATTAAATTATAAAGCAGTACAAAGGCTCAGTGTAACTCACTCCCGTGAGACAGTAGTGAGACACTGGCATTCCTTCTAGTCTTGAGGGCCGCCAGGCAGTCCCCTGTAGAGCAATTCAGGCTATCCGGGCACAGGCAGCAAACAGCAAGGCAGGTCACCAACAGTCTGCCAGATGACAGGGTCCGACAGTCCCCAGCTCAAGAGATGGAAATTCCAATGGTGTGGCGAAGCAGGTCTTGAAGGAACATGCAATTACAGCCACACAGTCCACGGGTTAGGTGTCCCACAGGTAGTATAACTTGAAAATTGAGGCAAAGAACACGCAAGGCAGCCGCACACTGGTCCTATGATCAAAGAGCAAGAGACAAGAAAGGCGAGGCTCGCCGAGCCATTTATCTCTCCACCCTTCAGTTAATCCCACATGTGTTTATCGGCCAGGTTGACACAATAAACTAACTGCCTCACTACCTATCTTATTTTATTTAGTATAATGTTTGCCAGGGTCATACTTATTTTATTCCGTACTTTACTCTTGCCATCGAGTTGATACTCATAGCGACCTTATAATAGAACAGGGTAGAATTGCCTCTGTGAGTTTCTCAGACTAACTCTACAGGAGTAGAAAGCCCTGTCTTTTCATCCCTATTTTAGTGTGTATTGTGCAAATCTTTTTGTGGCTGAATAATATTCCATTGTATGGACATACCACAGTTTGTTCAGCTGAATATTTGCTTCTATTTTTTGACTCTTTGAATAATGCTGCCATGATCACTCATGTGCTTGTTATTGTAGAGACATGTTCTTTTATTCTTTTAGCTGTGTACCTCGAATAGTAATGCTGGGTAATATAACAATTATGTTTACCATTACAAGGAACTACCAAACTGTTTTGTAGCATTGCTTGGTCAAATAACTGTTTCAAAAGAAATAAATATTACACTGGCTGAATGGTTAAAGTGTGGAAACAATGCAAATGTGTTTTCTCTTGAATTTTAGCATCTTTACAAAACGGCTAGAGACAAATACATGAATCTGTTACTGTTCTCGGTTTTCTTAAGATTTTAGATTTTTCAGTTACCCTGCTTAACTTATGATATTGCTGGAAGAGTTAAATAAGATCTTAGATATAAATATGTTTTAAAATCAGAAAGGAAGCTATAAACATTTTCAGTAATAAAATGCTCCAAAAGAAAAAAGCTAAATACTGTTTAATTATTAAGTACATGTGCCAAAATAAAATGTACCAACCATCAAGAAGATGGCACAGAGTTGGGCAGTACTATTATCTATTGTACATAAGTCACTATGCATGGATATTAGTTTAATGGCAACTAACAAAAACTAAACTAACTTAAAATACTGTTACCGTATATACTCATGTATAAGCCGTGTTTTTCAGCACATTTTTTGGTGCAGTTTTTTGGGTAGAATTAGGTGCCTCCGCTGATATTCAGTTGGGCTTATACTCAAGTATATATGGGATTTTTCTTAAAAACAATTAAATCCTTGATATTTTGTTTACTGTTTTTAGAAGTGGGAACCTTTAATCAAGAAGCAACTATTTATCGCTAAATTATTTTTATTTGAAAAAAGCTGTTTTGTTTCTTTTTTACCATGGAGGATGGACTGGTTAGCTTAGTGATTAAGCATAAAGATTTCAGAACTGGATTGCCTAGGCTCATATCACTTCTCTAGCACACACACACAGACAGACAGACACACTAATCTCTTAATTTACTAAAACAATTGTTTGCTCTTTTCGTAGGCAGTATATGCACAGCAAAATAAACTCAGTGTTGTCATTAGCTTAGAAAATGAGGTAGATAGATGTTTGTACAAAGAATCTAGCTCAATAATGTAACATAATAACTAACTCTAAAACCCACTGCCTTTCAGTCAATTCTGATTCCTAGTACACTATATACAATTTCTGAGACTGTGTATCGAAGCAGAAAGCCTCATCTTTCTCCCTTAGAGCAACTCCATTCATATTGCAGACCTTGCAGTTATCACCTAAATGCATTACTCAGTGCATCACCAGAGCCTGATAAAACCCAAACCAAACTCAACTGCAATCGAGTCAATTTTGACTGACATGGAGCAATAGGACAGAGTAGTACTGCTCCTGTGTGTTTCCGAGGATATACATTTTTGTGGGAGTAAAAAAGTCTAATCCCATGGAGCAGATCTTGGTTTTGAACTGCTGGCCTTTAAGGTTGGTAGTCCAACCCATAAATCACTATGCCACTAGGGCTCCTTGGGTATAACAAATTCAAAACCCACTGCCACTGAGTCAGTTCCAGCTCGTAGCAATCCTATAGGACATGGTATAATAGGTCATAATAGGGACTACAAAAATATACATTAAAATAGAAATTAAAATGTTAATTTGATAAAGCTTTTAAGTATATGTAATATGCTTATTTTTATTTTATGCATACATGTAGATATGCATAGATATACATGTGCACTATGCACACACATGTGCATTATTTATATATGTATATGTACCTATTTATATGTCTGTGTGTGTGTGTGTGTACATAGACTGTGTTCAGTTTATGAACAACGTTTGTTTCTAAGTCTTACTTTAATTTGATTTGTAAGTTGCAACAAGTACATACAGTTCTTCTTTACTGTCAGTTAATCGTATGTTTACCTTTTGATGTTAAGTGCTACTGACTAGTTTCTGAGAGCAACCCCATGGAAATAGAACAAAACGCTGCCTGTCTCACACTGTCCTATCCTCACAAACATTGTTATTTTTAAGCCCATTATTATAGCCACTGTGTTATTTCCTTAAAGATTGTCCTCTTTTTTGACCTTGACCCTCTACTTTACTAAGCATGATGTCTTTCTCTATGGACTTGATAATATGTCCGAAGTATATGAGATAAAGTCTCACCATCCTTTCTTCTAAGAAGCATTCTGAGTGTAGCTCTTCTAGAACATGCGTTTCTTTGTGGAAGTCTGTAGTCATATTCTCTTTCTTTGCCAACACCATAATTCAAATACACCAGTTCATCCCAGGTCGTCCTTATTCATTGTTCAGTTATCCTGTGGAGGTGATTGAAAATACCATGATTGGGTCAGGCCCATCTTAGTCTTCAGACAGACATCTTTGTTCTTTAGCATTTTAAAGAAGTCTTTTGCAGCAGATTTGCTCAGTGAAATAGACTTGCTTTTATCCCGAGTGCTACTTCCATGAGCACTGATTGTGAAACTAAGTAAAGTGAAATCCTTGAGAACTTTCTCCATTGTTGCACTTGTGAAGATTTTTGTTTTCTTTACATTGAGGTATGTGGCAGTTATATAATCTACTGTCAACTTGAGCAAAGGGGTGGGGTCTAGCCTGTCAAGCAGGTCATAGCCAATGAGATCTCTGTATGGGCATGGCTTTCTCCTGAGGATTATGGGAACTCCTGTCTTCCTCCCTGGAGGTAGGACACACTCTTTGCTTCACCTTCCTGCTGACAAGACACATGGCACCACACTGATCCCAACTAGAGCCCTAGAGCTGGAGGAGTCATGTGGAGATCCATGCCAGCATGGAGTTGCTTCCACCACCACTGGATCCGAAAGACTTTCCACCTACTGGCCTGTGATCTTCCTGCACTGGCATCATAGCATGTATTGTGTGAGTCTGAAGAGGAATTTATAGACTGGTATCGGACATACGGGCTAAGATTGTACTGATGAACATTATCTGGACTGGACTGAGATGTTTTCTTCATATACTATTAAGCTCTTATATTAAGCTCTTTCTTATCCACATATGAGTGTCTATAAATTTCTTATTTTAGTCAACCTGGACTAACAGAAGGTATAATCACGACAGAAGGCTGTAGTCTTTTTTTCATCAACAAGTACATCAATCCCTCATCCTTTTCAGCAACCAAGATTATGTCATCTTTGTATCATAGGATAATAAACTTTCCTCTAGCCCAGTTTCTCAGATCATTTGTTCAGCATATAGATTGAATAAGCATGCTGAGATGATACAACTTGATACATGCATTTTCTGATTTTAAACCAAGCTATGGTATTTTCAATAGCATCATATGCATATGAAAGTTGAACTTTGAGTAAGGAAGACCAAAGAAGAATCAATGCATTTGAATTGTGCTGTTGAAGAATATTGAAAACACTATGGACTATCAAAAGGACAAACAAGTCTGTGTTGGAAGAAGTGTGGCTAGAGTGTTTCTTAGCAGTGAGGATGGCAAGACCATGTCTCACATAATTTGGACG